GAAGCTAGAGTTATGCAGACAGCGGAAGAGATGTGTTTGATGGGTAAAGGTCAATATGTGCTTCGTAGATAAGGCAAGGTGCTGCTGCGATTCTTTGTACGCTTCCCGCGTGCCTGTCTGTCTTCTACTATGTAGAGTCCTGTCTCCGTACATTCTGGATCTGCCTCGGACTCTTGAAGCTCTCCATCGTGGGGCACACTGGCTCGCAACCTTGTTGTCGGCCACCTGGCACACCCCCCGTGCCCCCTCACAGCGCTATGCAAGCAATGGTCCGGGGCATCTACCAGGAATGCAAAGCATAGACATCGGGTGCGAATTGAGGTTTTGCGGGAGGCGGGGAACTAGCTGGAAGGAGGGTCTCGAACACTTACGTATACTGAGATCACTTTCGACGTGCTCTCGTCACTCTTCTTCCAAAGGTTGTGGATCAATGAAGCAGCAATTGATGGTCTCTAACAGGCGGTCTGTCGCAAAGGGTCTCGCTCTGTGTCTCGGTGGTATAGCTGGCTGTTGTGGGACGGAGAAAAGGAAGCAAGCAGGCCGTTGGGACGCGACGATGAGAGAGCAGCAGCAGCAAATAATCGAGAATTGAAGGTGAAGGACGAGACAAGGTCGATATTGACGTTGGATGTCGAAATCTCCGGGGACTGCGAAGCGCAAGCTGGATCTCGGACGGTGGGGTTGGGTTTGCGGAGAGAGAATTGGCAGCGGGAGCGAGGGCGATAAAAAGATATCCGTCCGTCGGCCGGATCTGGGCTAGGCCAAGCGGGATCTCAGAGGCGTCCAATGTTTGCAGTAGTGGAAATGAAGATCAATATGCGGCGACTCTAGCAGGGGATGCAGGCGCGGCAGAGTTGCTTGACATCGGAGCTCAGGAGCTGGGTAAAAAGAAAGCAACCTGCTGGAACAGCGCGGCCGGCAGCACAACGTCAATAACCAATTGGGCTCGGACAAGAGGCGAGCGGTATCGAGCTTGGCCTCTCGGAAGCTAACCGCCGTCTATATCGGGTCAGGTAGCAGCGTCCGTGTATGATGTTGAGACAATGCAACAGGCGTGCCGAGTGGATGAGGCCAATGCTGTTGCTGTAATTAGATGACAACTTCTCTGATATAAGGAGCTTTGAAGAGCTGAAGGAGCTCCGCGCAAAGCGTGTTGGTTGTTGACAAGGTAGGAAGAGGATGCCCTGGAAAGAATACAGAGGATTAGAAGAGGTGCGAGTCACGAGGGTGTAGGTCTGCTTCAGCAAAGTGCGCAAACTTCAGACGTATGTGCAGAGAGACAGACGAGATGAAGGAAATTCTGTGGCACGCAGGTCGTCGATTCGAGACGATGCGCAACGAGGCGAGGCGGGGACCGTGGGGACAAGGATTGTAAGGTGGGCGTGGCCAGAGGAGCGGCGAAGCAGAGCAGAGCAGAGTACTTCGGAGGCAAGTAATGTACCTTGCGCCGTGCGGATACTTCACCCTACCTTACCTCAAAGCCGGGACAAGATGGGGCAGAAGTAGGAGCAAGATGACGGACGGGGGATCGAATGGCATAAGGGTAAGCCGAGGGAGACAAGGAGCAGGATGGGGACAGGATAATTATCTTACTGTGTACGGAGTAGAAGACGGCTGATGGGATGGTAGACTCGCGGCACGGTGATAGGATGAATAGGATGACCAGAATCAGCAAGAGGAGAAAGGAGAGAAAAAATAGCGAAAAAGAGCCACACTCTGACTTACGAGTTACGACCTTGCGGATGGATATTAATGCAACTGGATGGATGGACGTTCTTGGGTCGACAGGTCGGGGTCTGTATGCAGCTCCAACCGGGAATAACCCCCCGGTCTGCGGTCTCTTTGCTTTGTTCTTTTTTTTTTTCCAACGGGAAAAAGAACTGTTTGCCAATGAGCTCTCGGCTTGAAGTATATCGCGTCAAGAAGAAAACTAACGGAGAGAAAGTTTCCAAAGAAGTGAATTAATTGATAACTTGTGAAGTTGCGGTGTTTCTTGAAATTTTGGATTGAATCAACCTGAGAAGGAGAGAAGGAAGGAAGCCAGGCAAGGTACGTATCGTGGGACCTGCGTCCCGACTCCATCCTTCCCGTTCCTTCCACACCACGTAAGGCACCTACCGACTCCGCACCTTCCTATGATTTCAAGAAGCATTCGAAGCACCTTGCTCGGGATGTGAGGTCGGCCGAGATACATGGAGAAGTAGCTTGCATACCCAGTTATCTAAGGACTGCCACTACAGTAGGTACTTACCCTTAGGTAGGTACCGGCACGTGAGAAGGCACTCGTGACCTTTCTCTCGGATCAAATGCCGTCTTCGCTAGGTACCTCTCATTGAGGGATTCCTTTCCTCTTCACCTCTAGGAATCTCAGTCACCCGACAGGCTCAAAGTGTACAAACATTGGTCCCAAACTTGGACTATCAATACGCATACTCAGACAGTCAAACTCGTCCCCGACCTTGGGGACGGCACGGGAAGGAAGGGACGCCAGAAGAACCATAAGACTCCAGAGTGAAGCGGGGACGTTGCAGGGAATCCCGGACCAACAGACAATGAGGGACTTTACTGTCGTATGTCTCCATCCAAGTACATACTACGTATACTGCGTATCCACCAATCCGTACATGCCAAATTGTCGTCCAAGTTTGGTGATTTGCTGCAGATGCCCAGAGAGACACAGAGGGGTCCATGTCGAAATCTCGAGGTACGAGGCTCAAGCTGCTCGGACATGGAGAGAGTCCCCACTTCATCACTGTACCTGAGAAACTGCCCACAGTGCGTCTCTTGCGACTCTTCTCAAGCTTTCAGTGCATGGAGCCACTGGACTGGGATTAAGCGAGAAATGTGTCGTCCAATGTCTGCAGCCTACTAGACAGCCCCGGCCAAACTGGGGCCCTCGGCTCCACCTACGCGGACTCTGGGTCACAGTTGAACACCGGACGGTCTGGCCAACAGGCGGAAGGCGTTTGATCCACGTCTGTCCCGCGCTTGGTCCGGGCGTTTTCAGTCCAGTCCAGGGTACCTACTGGTACCTCCCCAAGGGCGGGTTACTGAGTAGTACCCAGGTAGGTACTTTTCAACGTAGGTATCTTTCCATTCAGGTAAATATTTTCTTCACATTCATATTGCTGGATGTTGCGGATTTTTTCAGACGCAAAGACATGTGCATAGGCACTCTTATGGATGCGCTTTTCAATACCTGTCGCCATGCTTGGGTGAATTGAATAATAATAAAAATGGTCGTGACTTTCGCTACTCGTCCCTGCCGCCAGACTTAACATTCAAGGCGCCTTTGGCTTCCACATTCGGATGCATGGCACCGACGCCCGAGGGAAGCCACTGCACTTGTGCACCTTCCGTTACTTTTACTTTTGCAAAGACCGACTGACCGAGGTCCTCAAGGCTCACAGTGTCTTTTTGGTGCCGTCATCTTCCCCAGATCATCACCAACTGGATACCCATCCATCCATCATCCATGGACAATCCATCAACACCATCCACTCGCCCATCGTCATCCTCAATTACCACGCCACCAACATCTACCAACACCACTATCACTGCGACCTCAATGCTGATCTGGCCCACCTTTGCAAATCACAGACTGATTCAGTTGTGCTCTGCACCGAAAGCTTACTATCTAGGGGACCTCATCTCTTCTGCATGCGCCTCATCAAGCAAGGGGACCCCCTCCGGAATCACTCCCGGCGAGCCATGATAATGCCTTGACTCTTGACTCTTGCTGCCGCATATTCGTCGCTCAACCACGCCTCATATCTGCTGCGAATTCGATACTGCGACGGGTCATTTCGACATTGCGGCGCCCCAGTAAAGAGCCACGATCCATGACACTGGCTGCAACGCCCCAATGACGGCTTCCGTACCCATACAGTGTGATCAACAGACGTGCTACGACAGAGCCCCAACCGATGCTTTTCGTCGAGATTTTCTTCACTACTTTCTTCATCCCTCCATACTTTCTATGGACAGACTCCAGTCGAGCTGTAATCATGGTACGATCGTTCCATAGGTCCCATATCCAGGGCCGCGGCCGCTACGGAAGGCTCCCACGCTCCCTAGTCACCAGTGGAACTCAAAGACCGACCACCGCGGGAACCTAGGGACCGGGGGGGGACGTGCCGGAGTCAACGCCTAGCTCTACCGTAACGAGTTTGCCGCTGCCTTCAGCCATCGGGGCCCAGTATGCCCCTCGACTTTGCAGTGCGCACATTACGGCCAGTGTCGATTTCTAGTGGCCCTCTGCGACCCGACTCCTGCCATGGCGGGTTGGCTACCTACAGTACGGATACTTGGTACAAAGTCGTGGGCACCAACATGGGGCCTGGGGGCTAGGCGTGGCAGAAAATCACATCACAGCGCGGAGAGCAGCAAAAGCCCACCTACTAAACGTGCCTACGCCATGCATTACCTACATCCGCCCACCGCATCAGGTTGACCACCATCGTCGTTTGTGAGCGTCGCCGGCATCTCGGAACCGCATCCTGCCCACCAGTCTATCAGCCATGGCGCACGATTGCCTCCTTGCCTGCTTCGGTTGGTAAAATGTGTGATGGCCAGGTCGCTGAATGCCTATGCAATACGGATCACAGCCAGCTCCAGTCTGTTTCGGTCCCGTAAAGTACCCAGCCAATCAATCATGGCGCGTCTTCCCACAGGGCCGAGCAAGAAGAAATCTGCACATCCGTACTCCGTACTCTGTCCTCCGTACCGAGGTCGACAGGATTCATCCAAGCCGGCTGCCTAGAATTTGGTCACCGGCTCGCTGTTACCCCTTCTCCACCTGCCTGCCATTCTGGTTCGGGGACGGTGGACGTTGGGAAAGGAAAATTGTTTGCTCTCGAGTCCCAGATGCAACGTCGGCCGCCGCGCACACATGCAAGTCCCAGGTCCATACTTGGTCCTGCAGCTAGGCGCAATCGATACTCGGGCTCACGGACAGGCAAACAAGAAAGAAAACGGCCCGGTAGGGGATACCCTCGAGGGGGCGTCCCAAGAGAATCTCACAAAATTTACTCTGCCGTCTCTCTACACAGTAAAAGCCTGGAAGGTTCAAACTTGCGGTTTCCGTACCAGGGACCTGGGCTCTCTGGGATGGGAGGATGGCCGGTCTGTGGTGCAGTGCAGCCGAAGTCTGCAAGGTACGGGAGACTGTGCACGTTTCTGGAATGGCCCGGACTTTAGCTGCATGCCGCAGTGCGCCGCCTTACAGACATGAAAGTTGTGAGCACACTTGTTACGTTCGCGTGGTGGTTGTGGACAGTTGGCAGCCATTTGATCTAATGGTGCCTCGCAATGTGCTGGCATTGGACGACGGGCCGCAGCGAGCTGTTCCCGGAAATGAACCAACTGTCCAACAGCTTTGGCTGAAAGCCTGCACTACGGGCTATGGCACTCCGTACACTGTCTACGAAGTATTCGCACGAAGTACATCTGTGGCACGGCGCAAGGTCACATCGAGATGTGCATGCGCAGACAGACTACAGCAGCTTACCGTCACATCGAGGGACTCGATTGCATCAAGCACCTACCTCCTCTACCGAGTCCCCTTTGACGCAAGGACGGGTTCACCTTTTCTGCCACGGCTTCTCACGGTTCGAAAAGGCCACAATACTACAACCTTGTCTTTGGTGACGGGATCGAGGCACAATTGGCCAAGGACGGTTTTAAGACGCGCACCAACCAACCAACTGCCAACCAAGGTATGAGACGCCACAAACTCCAAGGGACGGACTTGAAAGCACAAAAACGTGTCGAGACCGGGATGAAAGGAGCCTCGTGCGCACTTTGCCTCGTGTTTTCGGTATCCAAGCACGGACATCCGGACCCTTGGGCGTTTGCTCAACAGTACGGATACTGGGTGGGCAAAAAGACGTCTAAACATCATTTCCTGCCAAAGCGGACTACGAAGCCGAGGTGAGAGGATCATGATGATTGACTCCTGATCATGTTGGTAAGGTCATGGAGCTTCGCCCCTATTGCCTACTTAGCTCATGACTCTCTGACTTGCGCTCAGGACTTCCAAAGAGGACCCCTCCGTGGTGGAAACACGTCGATCCGACCGCGCTTGGCGTTGCTTCTGACAGCTTGCTCGGTGGACGCCAAATTCAACGACAGATCAGATCAGTCCTTGTCTGAGGCACAACAGTCTGACATCTTGTTTTCTGCTGGACTCCCGACGCATCAGTACTCCTTTCACAAACGATATCGTACTCTGTTCTCTGGCAGAGCCTCAAAGAAAAGGAAACTCAAGGTCGCTCATGGGCTTGTGCCACTTTCTTCACCGAACCGGGGGTGATCAGGCCCGCCGCACTTCTCCTCCATTCTCCCATCCCCGGCGCCGCCCTTGGTCCCCCGGTCGTCGAGGAGCTCAGGCCCAGAGATGCTTAGTGCTGCCCTGGACCCGGCCCCCAAGGATGGCCCAGCTTCTCGAATTTGAGGAAGAGCCCCAGACCGAAGGCGGCTAGCCTGAAAGGGAAGCTGCAAAACCAATCTTTCAATTTAAAATCGCCTGTTGGACTTTGCCATGTTCTTTGTCCCATGCGCACTTCAGGATGGCTCCGCTCCCGGCCTCCCTCTCCGTCGACGATAATTCTGTTTTCGGGACATCTCGCTGGGTCTCCTTTTCGCCTACCTGCCAAGGCCATCTGGAATACGCAAAGAGGCTTGCTGGTTAATGAGGGCGCGCGCCTCCTCTAGCACGTTTCCGGAGACAACTCCGCCTTGCGCGACGCTGCCACGAGGTGGTCATGTTGAGCGCACCGAGGGTCTGGGTCGCTGGCGCTCGCTCCCAAGTATCCGTATCAATATTGCGCGCATTTGTGTGATCAGCTGTGTTCTACGTCGGCAGTTGACCCAGTCGTCTGCGGCGCTGGCCAGTGCAAAGCCTGTGAGACATGCCCAACATTGCGAGTAACTAGTCGCCGGTCGGCGCAACCCTACGATCACCGAGGAGAAGATCTGCCACTTCAGTTACCATAGGTGTTCGGCGTTCGCCCACCGGTCAAATTTGACGCTCTTCGGTCATTCGGCGAGCGCCCAGTCTATTGCTTGGGACATTTGACGTCGTCACTAGAATATGTCTCACTTGTAACCGGAAGGAGCTCAGACCTTGGTGTAGTCGATCGCCACGGTGTGGATTTAGAGATCATGACAGGATGCCAAGTGAGCCCCTCGATATCAGTATGACGAAGAGTCATTGGAGGGACTGAAAGGGCTTGCTGCCGGGACGTGTCCATTTCATACTCCTGCTAGAACTTCTGGATACCTATTCCACCATGACAATATGGGACTCGGGAAGCACGATGGCATCGCCTCCCGGCTCGCGGACGCTTAGAACCAAGGCCTATGCACAAAAAAACCATAATAGTAACGAGATGGTCAAAAGAATGGACGATCTGGGAATCGAACCCAGGACCTACCGCATGCTAAGCGGTCATTATACCACTAAACCAATCGCCCTGTGAATGATCTAGCCCGGACTTGAACCGGAGACCTTCAGTGTGACAGAGGAGATGACGAGGCTCTCGAACTGTTAGACTGACGTGATAACCAACTACACCACCAGACCAGTGAATTTGTTGAAAGCTGGCGGCAGTAGTTGCGTCCAAGGGTGCGTGGGCACGGCGGGCGCGGGTGAGGGATGCAAAAAATTTGCAAACGGCTTTGGCAGGGTGGACCGGGAGATCCCTTGCGGTGGAGGTCGGAGCCGACCGCGGCCGGCCGAAGTGGAGTTGAGTTCCGACGAACATGTAGCTATTTTTAGGGGTGACGGAACTACCAGATGAAGGCTTATGTCGACGCTGAGTGGGAAGTATGTCACCGGGGCGCCTTTCTTCCCTCGAGGTTGATGAGACGTCATATATCTCTGCCCTTGGATTTCATAAAATCGACTTGACCGCAGTAGACATGAGACTCTGATTGATGTGTATCGTTCTAAGGTGACTGTTTTGCGCCTGGCATGAGATACCTACCTGGTCGAGCTGTGAGGCAAGACTACTTCTAAAAAGTTGGATATAGAAGCCTTCTGTATTCTATGTCTAATATGAATGCCCTCTTTGAATAACGGGATGACGAGTATGCCCGGGTCAGCGTTCAACGTCGAGATAGTTCCTCTCAATATGCCACATCGGCCTCTCAACGATCGTCCTAGCATAAAGCTTACACATCCCAGCCCATCGTCTCACTACACTTCCAGTGAAGGTCCTAGCAGGCGCAACATCGCTGAAGATGCTGGGTTATCACGATTGGAGTATGAGTCGTTGCATTTGGTCGTCGCCGATGGCAGACTAGTTCGTGAGTTGGTGCTGCAGAGTGCATGTAGAATAGGGGAGGACAGGCGATGATACTCAAGGGTGAAGTCGCTGCAGAATGGGATTTAAGGCGGTCGTGGAGTGCGTTCCTGATATTCAGGCAAATCAATCTGGATTTTGTTTAAGAGTTTGAACGGGGTTTATACTTTTATTGCTTTACACGATGGTGGTAAGCAATGTGGAAGACCAACTCCAACATATGGGTAGCAGCCAGCTCTGTTCTCATGCTGGATAATGGCATTCGACATAGGAGAGGGAAATGATCGTGTCCTGGAGATCTCGTGTCTGAATTGAACTGAGACCACTGATGAGGGTGGCACATGTACATTGTTCAAAGTGATCATCGACTACCGCTCACTTACCAGGTTACTTGGTGATTGAGCACCTGTAAATGGTGGATGAAGGTTTATGAAGATACTGTGAGAAGTGTGGCATACCTATTCATTGCCAACATAGTCTTCACAAGGTGTTTCATCAGCATGCAGCAAGACAAGGCCCGATAGCCAGTCTGCTGCGGGCGTAGCCGCATGAATCAGTGCGGTCCATGAAGTTGAGATGGCACTGAATGAAAACGAGGAAACGAAACGATTTCATTCCATGTTCGCGGAAAGGAACAGACCCAGCCGGCCTTGACTGTGGCGGAATGCGCGAGGCAGTCAGGTCGCCCAGGTGACAGGCCCAGACAATCATCAGCACCCTGGGTGCCACGATCCCGCGTACGCCCTGCCCCAGTACATTCATCCCATCTACCTTATCTACGCTAGCCATTGCCACAAGACGAGAAGAAGGGTATATACCCCCCCTCAAGTCCAATTCTGTCACCAGCACAGCAGGCGCCCTCTAGGTCGGGGGTCAGGTCAAACTGTGGCGTGGTGGTGGAACGGTTCATGGTCAACCACTTTCGCCCATCAGCCTACTCGACGACAGGCTTAGTGACCGAGTTCGAAACCCAGCAAGAGCACCAGAGATGTAGCCCCCAGTCCAGCACCGGGGGGGTGAACTCTTTTGTCAGTTGGGAGTGAATGATGTGATGGTCTATTAAGCCTTTTCGAGCAATGTTTTATATTAGTGTTTTTTAGGGAGCCGATTTTGATATTGCGATATCTGCGCTTTTCTGGCGGCCTTGGACTATGGCAGTTGTCTTTGGGCAATTGCTCTTGCTGCAGCTGCCTTCCACTTTAAAATCATCTTGGTGAGGTGCTATCATACACACCCACATCCCTGCGCATCTACTGGATTATCGTCTGTCTGGCGAAAGGTCTTTTAGGACGAGAGTGAAGGAAGAACCGCTATCAATTGCCTTCTTGCCGCTCCCTTCGGCTGATTAGACGATCCAACCTCTCAGCCAGATGAGACCAGCTCGGTGATAGGGCACTCGAGTACGTAGACCTTCAAAACGTTGACTATCAGCTTAGGTCGGGTAGGCGGGAGAGAGAAAGGTGAATATTGCTTTCAGACGATGCCGGTTATTAATCTTCATCTGTGCAAATTGGGGTTACAAATAAATGTCCCATGGAGAGAAAACTGCCACCGGGCGGGTAATTACGACGACGGCGTCGCATACTGGCCCAACAATGGAAGCACTACCTAAACTTGGCCAGGGGCCGCATTGGAAAGAACTGGATCGTTCAGATAAGACTTGTCCTTGCGCCTGAACGCCTAGTAAGAGGGCTTGTGTCGCTTGAGGCATTATGTAGGAATGCGTGGCGCACAGGAAACCGTACACGACTCCTAGCACTTGGCATTCATCTAGAAGGTTGTGTAAGAACATCTCTAGTAGCGGGCGTTTGCTCCGTGGCGTACCTTGCCCTCAAAGCGGTGAGGAAGTCACGTGTAAGATATTCATGAGCGAATAATCGCAGATCTGCCTCATAGGGTAAACTATCCCAAGTAAGGATTATGAAGTTATGAGTTCCTCTACCTATCTCATACATCTTGGCGAATGACGCGAACAGCTCATGTCTAAGAATCAACTCCAGATCCCAGGCCTCAGCTCGGTATTGTGAGTAACTGAATCATCAGTAAACGAAAACAGCAAAAGCTCGGGCGCCGAGTTCGTGACTCGAACTGGACCCCTACGAAATCCTCCATCCGTTGACTTCTCGAGATTTCATACCAAGTTCTATACTAACGGACCAGGGCGTTATACCGCTCGACCGTGAGGATCGATTGGGCTTGGGTGACGAAAGAGAGACCCCGACCTGAATATAAGGCAAGGTGAAGCAAAAGCATCGAATAAAGAAGGGGCCGACGGAAGCGTGGGTCATAAGGTGAGGCAGGTGCGGTCGACGAGCCTTCCCTCCCTATGTAAGGCACCCAGCAGGAAGAAGAGGGCATCATGGGGCTCAGCAACGGTCCCATCGCATCTGAGCCGAACGCCCGGGCTAACGACGACACGGGTTCAGTTCAATGCTCTAGAAGAATATCGACATTCCTTTGCTTCGAGATGAGACGCTGACCGAGGGGTAGTTGAGAGCTCTTAGATATGCAGCCCTGGACGTTGTTGCTCGGGCACCATCAGGCGCGAATCACAGTCACTGGCATCATGGCATTTGGGAGAGTGGTTCTCTATTATTGCGCTGTGGCAGCATGGTACCCAGATGATTTGTCTTGTTTCTACACCCATATGGTACAGTTATCTTTAAAAACTCCTTCTCTTCCATCAAAAGTCGGGAGTTTTCCGTCCGTCTTCTTTTCGATATTTTACAATTGCAAGCAAGGTACGGTAAACCCCAGTCAATGCTTTCACCACCACTTACTCGTCATCCGCAAACCACAGCCCCTGAAAGCGCCATCTATTTCTTCCGCGTGTCACTCCAGAACTTCTGCCTCTCCTGCTCGCCTCTTTGCTCAGCGTACTTCTTGGCAGCCTTCTCCGCCTCGCGCTTGCGGCCGGCCTCGACGTGGTTTCCGGCACCGCCCTTGGCGTTGTGGACGGTTTGCTTGAGGTTGTCCATGATGCCCTTGACACTGCCGGCGTCAGCCGCAGGGGCTTCGGAGGCAGAAGCCGCGCGGGGGGCCTGGTAGTTCAGACGCGTGGGACCGGAAGAGATGCTGGTCTTGGCGGCTGTGGTGCTGATGGGAGTGGCAGCGGGAGCTACGATGGGCGTGAGGCCGAAGAGGTTGCGGAAGGCGGACTTGGTGAAGAGCCAGTTCTGGGCGACACCGATGATACCGGTGATGAAGAAGTAGAATTGGACGCCGGCGGGGAGGTACGAGGTGAAGATTACGGAGAGGGGTCCGAGGATGTACATCATCAGCTTCTGTTGGGCCCTGCTTTGCGGCGTGGCGTATTTGGAGCCGAGCTGGAAGTCGACACGTCAGTATCCGAATTGAATCAACTTTTGGTCCCCTGGGGGTTCACGTACCTTGACCATGGCAAACATGGCCACCGGACCGGCAATGGGCAGGAGAAAGTAAGGGTCAGAAACGGTCAAATCCGTGATCCAGAGGAAACCACCAGTCTCCATGCCAGGGACGGGGATACTGGAAGCGCCATTGAGGACACGGAACATGCCGTATCCAAAGGGAATTTGGAGAAGACCCCAAAGGCCGTTGAGGGGGTTGACGCCGGCGCGCTTGTTCATCATGGACATGTCGCGACGGTGCTCAGTTATGGCGGCCGAGTCACCGCGCGACACGGCCTCCGTCATCGCCCTCCGGGTCTCTTCATATGCCGGATCCTTCTGGAGCTTTTGCATTTTCGCCGTGGTGTCCTGGGCCATGAGGAGCGGCTTGAACATGACGAGACGAAGGAGAATGGCCGTCGCGGCGATGGAGCCCCACCACGGCATGCCGGAGAAGACGTGGACGTGTTCTAGGGCCCATTGCATCACGCTCGAGGGGCCCCAGCCAAAGTCGAGGCCGAGGGTCTTGAGAAAGCCGATTTGTTCGGGAAGATCGAGGAGGGAGGCGCCGTCGAGCTCGGGGAGGGAAGACGTCGGGGGAGCGACAGCCTCGGGGACGACGGGTGCGACAGGCGCGGGTGGAGGAGGGATGGATGAAGCCGATGCTGAGGCGGCGTCGACGGGTGCTGAGGGCGCAGCTGTTGCAGCTGGTGCAGCTGGTGACGGGGCTGGTGCTGATGGTGTCGGTGCAGGCTCAGACTTATCCCAGAGGGAGATGGCTCGTCTCGTCTCGAGGGAACCGCCGATGGCTACTGTGCCGGCGAGGCCACCTAACCTGGAGTTGGTAGATCTCAGCGCCGCCCAGGGCGCACTGCCGTTGCGCATCGAGGTTCCGAATTGCCGTCCATCGCCGAGTCGTCTGGGTGCCCGAGAGATCTGGTCACTGCACGTCAGCACATGATGCGGGCGGGAACTCGCAGAGGGCCTTGAGAGTTGGGGGAGGGAGTATGTACACTTTGACGGGTTATGCTGCTGACCGCTCTCGTAGCGGGGAGCGAACGGAGAACACCTCTGCTGGGTAGCATGGTGGGCAGATTCTAAGGGAGGAGGGTTGGGGGTTGGTGAGAATTGAAGACTGACGCTCCAGTGTCTCTGTCTTCGATTGGGAGCGCGAGATGATGGAAATTTTGGGGGACCTCGCCATTGGAACCGCGGACGCGCCGGGGAAATGTCGGGTGGGACGGGAAGCGGGCCCAAGCTCCGGCTCCGTTCCGCGGCCAGGGGAGAGTCACTGGCAACGGATCTGGGGATGGGGACGAGACATGTTAAGGTCAGCATTAGATATCATTTACACGGAGGAGCTTAATTGGAACTAGGTAAAGATGATTAAATTCATCGAACAAAGTTTAGGGTGAACCGTTAACGAATGAGGGAAAATGCTGTATTTTGGTTTCTTTTGATCCTCTGCATATGTATGACCCTCGAGTCTTGAACTCGTCACTGTAACCTGATCCACGCCATCTGTCCAAGGGCCGTACTCTGTGAATGCCTTTACTCTTCCCGTACGCCGATGCATATAGCCTTGCCTAGGTAGTATGTCTGGCCTGGGCAGTATTTGTAACAATCCCGACACCTCGCAGCAGCTTTCCGTCGCTGAGGGATACCATCGTTCCTTGTCTTCTCTCTTAGGGTGGGTTGCGACCTCACATGATTGTACTTCACATGGTCGGGGGCGACCTGTCTTCGTGGGTGCACTCGGGCTTTTATGCCCATCCGCCTAGTCACTCCAAGCTCGTCAAGTCATCGAGACCGGTAGAAGGCCTCCGGTGCTTGTCACGAATCTCAAGGCCGGGGCCAATAGCGTGCGCCGTCCTCCGGGACAGGGGAAAGACCTGGGATGTGTATGTTAGATACCATCAAGATACCACATCGTCGCCTGATGTTTGACTCTCGCAGTATGCGCATGCACTTAGGATGCACGTATGCGAGTATCCAGGAACTCCATTCGTACCTTGGTGCCGCCCCATCCTAGCCTAAAGGCAGCCTCGTGTGCGAACAACTCTCCGAAACCCAGCATCATGCCATTGATGAAGGGCAAAAATAGGTTGATAGCGGCGCCGCGGACCAAGCCCCAGAACGTGGGGGGCTTGTAGAGGATGATGGGCGAGTTCGACGAGGGAGGTGATTCGGTGAGATCCTCGCCTTGGGAGTACTGCTCACTGTCGGACCGGATTGTCACGCCGGACTCGGCAAGCGGGTGGAGGGAGTCGTCGGAAGCCATCGTCGACGCTGGCTTGTGGGTTTGGACGGTAGTGATCGTGGGATGCTTGGGAACTTGGTCGACGCAGGTTTACCGAGATTCGGCGCAGGTCAGTTCGATGATGGGACGGGGAGCTACGGCTACGGCATCACCTCGGAAAATCACACCGCAGCTGCCGCCTCCCCCAACGTGTTGCAATGGAACTTGGAGTCTGCGGGGTCTGTGCGTCAGGTATCATTGGTCTTTTCCCGTTGGAGCTTCAGCCACATCACTGTTGAGATTAGATAAGCCTTTGCTGTGGCTGTGCTTGGTGGGGTGGAAGGAACCTAAGGGTGAGGTGGGTGGTGGGCTCCTCCCTCACGTCACAGGGAACGTGCTAGACAGCCAGGTACCATTCCGTTACGGATGCAGCTCCAATGGAAGCAGTTACGACCACTAAGCTGCCGGCTATTCATCTCCCACTTCGCCTTTGAATCACTGCAGGGCGCAACCTTTAAAGAAACCCGAACTTCAAAAAGACCTCGGATTCACTGGTGATATCTCTGCCTTATAAACCGACAACACAGTCATACTCAGGTTTGAGAGACCACTGCATTCTCTTTCCTTCTTCCGCCCATCCAACTCTGCCTAATCGACACCTCACCGTTCCCCGCCAAACCACATCCAGTGCCCGCCAACATGTCCGGTAGCTCCAACAGCGCTTCGCGCAACAATATCCTGCGCGACTTCAAGAGCCTGACGGGCATGCCCGAGGCTAGGGTGAGACACTCTTTATAATCTACGGTGAATTACCTAGCTGACTATGCGTCAAGTGCACAGAGTACCTCGAATCAGCAAACTGGGACATCGGCCTTGCCGCCCAGGCATACTACGCCGACCACGATTCCGGCGAAGAAGAGATTGAACCCGTTGCACAGGCTGCACCCTCTGCCCCCTCTGCCCCTGCTCCCGCTGAATACACCGGTCCCCGAACTCTCGATGGACGACCCGCACCTGAATCGGCCGGCAGAGCGAGCACTGTGAAGAAGGCGGCGCCCAAGAAGAAGGGTCTCGCAACGCTCAGCTCCATTGGTGGAGGTCACGCACACGACGACGATGACGATGACGATGATGAGGACGACGACGACAGGGGCCGCGGCGACCTCTTTGCTGGCGGCGAAAAGTCTGGGTTAGCTGTGCAGGACCCGTCCCAGGAGGGCGGTGGTGCCAAGAAGATTATCAGCGACATTCTCGCCAAGGCCAAGGCGTAGGTTCACAACGCAGGAGAATACTGGGAGGACGAAAAGACTGACGCAGACTACCAGGAACGCTTCTCGGCCAGAGACTGCATCACCGGCAGGCCCTTCTCGCTCCGGTGCTTTCCGCGGAAGCGGCACCACCTTGGGTGGCGAGGGCGCTGAGAGCCGTAGTATTCCCGACGCTGACGCCCAGGAGGGCGCGACTGGCTCGGCGGGCGCGACTGGCGAGCCTCAAGAGCGCACATTGCACCTGTGGCAGGATGGCTTCAGCATTGACGATGGCGAACTCCACCGATTCGACGACCCCGAAAATGCTATGGACCTCAACATGATTCGGGCTGGCAGGGCTCCCTTACACTTGATGAATGTGCGTTACGATCAGCCGGTCGATGTCAAGCTTCACCAACACCAGGAAAACTACCACCCGCTGCCCAAGTCATACAAGCCTTTCGGTGGAGAGGGACGCCGGCTCGGTAGCCCCGTACCTGGTGAGGGCAGTTCTTCGTCGACTGCAGCTGCCCCCGCAGCCTCGGCCCCGACCAGCTCCACTTCGACGGGCCCGCAGCAGACCATCAATGAGTCTCAGCCGACTCTGACCCTCCGTATTCAACTGCCCAACGGCACCAGACTCCCTGCTCGCTTCAACACTTCAAACACCGTCAATGACGTCTACGAGTTCGTTCAGCGCGCTTCTGCGGATACCCGCTCCAGATCCTGGGTGTTGGCCACGACATTCCCCAACAAGGATCACACTGATCGCAGCCTGGTATTGGGCGAGATGCCCGAGTTCAAGAAGGGTGGCACGGCTGTCGTCAAGTGGGCTTGAACTACGAGGTAGATGGAAAAGAAAATGGCGGGAAACAGGCGGCGTTTGGAACTTTGGGCCTTGGCCCACATTGTAGCCGGGTGGCTTTGGGTCTAAGCATTTGAGGTCGTTTGCCTCTGCGTGGAATGTAGACTTGCTCGAGAAATAGACATGCCCACATGAAACAGTAACATCAGGTTGGCAAGTTTTCTTTTGCTGCCGCAGCACCTTATACTATGTGTACATGTACATGTCTGTTGTACAGTCCTGAGTCCTTCAACGCCCTTTTGAAATGGTATCATTAATCATCCCTTGCCATACGCCGCTGCGGCAAACCGTCTGTCGCCTATACGTATCACTCAACTCGACACAAGATCTGCGAGGTCCGTCTTTTTTTTTTCTTTTTACAGTCTATCGTCGCAATACTCTCATGCCGTGCTACCACCGCCTTGCGAAATCATGGTGGCTGGGCCGTCTAAGAATTTGAAATGCTCAATAGCAATCTGGCAGTTGAGCATGGCGGCGTTGAACCTGGCTTCGCCGGGCGGCAGGATAACCATGAGGTAGGTATTGGTCGTGAACTTGAGGATGAAGAGGTTGAAGCGCGTGCCAGCCTTGTGCTCCATACGCACAAACTGCTCTGCGTTACGCGGGGTACCGGTGAAGCGACTGATGGTCTGCTTGAAGTGCTTCATGATGTTGGACATGCGCTCCAACCTGTCCTCGGTGGGGTTCCGCTGGCCTTCTTCCGATGTCCAGGAGGAGACGGCGAGGAAGGAGGTGCGTTCGAAGAGGAGGAGCTCCTCTGCCTCGATGGCGACGCCTAGGTTGGCGAGGTTGCGTTCGATGGTGGCTAGGTTGGGAACGAGGTCGTGGATGATGCTCGCCCAGGCCTTGTAGAGACTCTGATCCCAGATGCTGGTTGCAAAAGGGGTGATGTCGAAGCCGCCGGCCGGGGGCGCGGTCGAAGGGCTGGTGGGGTCGTCGGCGGCGTCCGGGTGCTGGTTATGGAGGTAGCCGATACTGTTTGCGTACTCTGCGGTGCGTTGGCGGACGACGCGGACGCGGTCGTCGTAGACTGATTCGCGGTGGGCGGGGACGACGAGGTCCATCTTGTGGATGAGGACGTAGATTTTGGCTCCTGGGGAGAATTGGAGGAGGGCGGAGATGATGGAGACGTAGGTTGCGAGGTCGCGGTCAATGTCGCGTGATTCAATGTCGAAGACGTAGATGAGGACGCCAACGTTGGAGAAGACGTGGACACGCTGCTGGGAGAGGTAGTTTTCCATAAAGGCCTCTTGGCCACCGCAGTCCCAAAGGTTGAGGGTGAGGTTTCCGAGGAATTTGACGTGGGAGAGGTCGATGTCTATTGTTGCGCCGCTGTTTGGTACGAGTGTTAGTGTCCATACGGACGGAACGGCCAAATGGAAGAGGTTGAGGGGGCTGGGACTCACAGTCTCCGCGTATCACGGGCAATGTAGTTGCTAAAGATGATGCTTCGCATACTCGACTTTCCGGAGCCACTCTTGCCCATGAGCAGGACCTTCTTCTTCTTGGGCTTCTTGACCTCGGCCAGGGGCGTGTTGTCCGGTCCATTGGTGTAGCCGGCGTCAGCCATGGTGTGTGTAGGCTATCCTGCGCTCGCGATTTGGAAAGCTATCCAGCACGTGGTGAAGAGGGGTTCGTGGATTGGGTGTGTGGTGTTTGGCAATTGGGATTTTGGTGTCGTCGGATACTTTGTTTACACGGTTCGTTGTCGGGGCGTCTTGAGGCTTGCGTACAGACTGAACAGTTCTGGAAATCAAACGAGTGACTGGTATGCGGTGCTAAAGAAGATCGCTCGATAGCGATTGAGTTTGTGTAGCCTGGTTGCGATGTTGAAATACCCGATGGGACTGAATGTTGATCATGGCCGCCGCCTATGGATGGGCGCTGCGACCTGATTTCCAGGAGCCGCGCAGTACGTACCTGGACGGTGGACGTACCGGAGCTTGCGCGCTCCGATAAGATAAGCCGCTGCCTGGGGGCCCCCACCACCAGGAACCTCTGCACGACTGAGTCCCTTCGCTTTCGCCATCCTCAGTTCTCCATCTTTCAGCCCGAGTTCCACTGGTTCATCCGGTCCATCTATGTTTTACCCGCTGAGGAATACATACGATGGCGCAAGACTACCGAAGCCTTCCATCCTTAATGCCGGATTTTGACATAATTTCCTGAAAAAAGTCTGGTGTAACCCGGAAGCTCAAAGTTTGCACATCGAGCACTGGGAATGCATCATCGCTGGAACGGAACGAGTGCGACTTTGTCGTCGATGATACCAAGAATATCATGACTTACACCAATGTCGGGCTGCCTGCCAAGGAATCTCGTCAATGGGACAATGAGGTGACACGAAAGTACACGAGAGCGCACGATACATGCATCGGTTCAAGATGCCCAAAAGAATTTATGCCGGCGAAGACGACATGGTGTAACGGCGTCTTTCCTGGGCATTCTCGGCAGAGGTCGGCTTGACAACCATCGCACGCTTCCCCCACTACACCACCATCCATGAGCTGATCATCAGATATGGCGGATTCAAACTTTTCTTATGCCCACGGGACACGATCTGTCATCTAGCGATGCAGGCCTTGGCTGCTCGAACTCTGCCGTAGGAGTCGGCATCGTCATTTCGAGGATGGATCTTGCATGTAAAGGTGCCCTGCACATGGTCTATGGTGTCGAGACCCAGCCATCGAGGGAGTCCAACCTCCAGCATTGTATCGAGATCAATGGAAGGGATATGCTAGATCCTAGCAGTCCAATGGTCACTGGCAAAGCTGTCAGAAAAGGGACTGTTTTGGGGTGCCACGGGTGCCCCGCCGCAGGCTGGACTTTGAGACCTTGTCTTGGTTGTCGACCCTTAGAGTCCGGTCTTAGTCCGTCTCGCTTCTCCCTTCGACCTCGGGCCAATGGCTGCGATGCAGCCACCGAGTCTCGGGATCCCGTCTTGCGCATCAGTGTCTGAAATGATTTCGACTAACGATGGGACTAGTGACAGGTTGTCTGTTGGATCCGAGTCGTGCCGTCCGCCCTCTTGAGCATGTTCTGCTTGTTCATCCCTCCAAAGCATGATGCTGCGACCTGCTGGCGCACACAAAGCGAGCACATATGACTGTTCAGATCCCCCACCAGGCTGGCCCTGGTGTTTGCTGCTTCGTGAAATTTGTTTCGATGTACACGCTGTTAGTTTCGTGGTCACTTGTGTCTTTTCTTTAATGAGTCTTTCGTCACAGGCATAGTTGTGCTTGGTTGTGACTGTGACATTCTGCGCCGGTGATCTCGACGCGTTCTCAAGACGTAAAAACAACAGGGATAGCAGAAAGCGACCATCGCAGCATGTCCAACATGAACCCTCCGCACGCGTATCCGCAGCAGATCCCGCCACGCCGGCCGGAACACCCATCTAGTAGCCGATCGCGGGGAACAAGTGCGCCTGGTCAAAGAACCAGAGCCGAAACGCAGTACCGCCCACCGCTGCCAGCTAATCGACCTACCATTCGATCAAGGTATACCTCGCCAGAAGATGCACCAAAGACTGCTGTGCCGCCTGTCCCGCTCCAGCGTTCGAGTGCCTCCTCGGGACGCGTCTACAGCTCCTCGACGAGACCTTTTGATAGGAGCCGGAGTCCGGTTATGACACTCCGCATATTGTCGCATAACAGAGAAGGGCATCGAGACAAGAAGACTCAGGAAGACCAAGAGAACCGGCTGGTCCATGACTCCTGGGAGTTTCCCGTTCCGCCTCGGGGTCTCGTGCGATCTGGGAACGTCAAGCAGACCTCTCCTAAGCGAAGACGTCTGCCACTGAGAGACTCGATCCTCTTGAAGCGCAAAGACTCATCTGACTCCTCAAAAGCTGGAGTAGAGACGTCAGCTAGTACGCCTCGTAAGGCACCGCCATCTTCGGAACCACAGACGCCATCTAGGCCTACGCACTCTATGAGCATGCCAGCCACCCCGTCAAGAGGGAGGATGCCGGATCTGCCTAGGTATGCGTGCCAATCGACTTCACTATTGTGGCTTTGGTCAGCTAATCTGGTGATCAGACTTGGAGCCCGTCCCAAAAATCAACAGCTGGGTGAAAGCCACTCACAGAATCAACCTGCACGCCTACCGCCAAGAGATTCCAACCTGGAAAGCTACCGCAAAGCTATCAAGGCGTCGAATGATGCTTTGCCAGATGGTGAGAAGCCGTTGGTGTCTCGCATCTGTTCCATGATCTTGGATGAGGAATTTGGCGCTGGCGCCGACAGATCCTCGACTCCCCTTAAAGTTTGGGACACCGTGGTAAGATGCCTCGACGACATCTCTCGCCTTGCAAAAACAGGAAGCTCCAGCACTGGTGATGGGGGGCCCTCTGAGGCCCGTCTGGCTCTGGAATCAAAGTCGCTCCAGGAGACGGCAGTGAGAGCGGGTGGTCAGATCAAGATTGCCGAGCGAGACGACCGCAACACGCACTCTTCCAAGCGAGACTCAAGGTCCAGCGGAGGTTCGTCAATTGTCGACTACTATTCCTCGAATTATCAAAGAGTGAGCAGTGGCCAAGTTGAGATGATGCCATGCCCTTATAGGCTGCGCAACCCGGCTCGATTCAACGTCAATGACAAGTGGCAATGCGTTAACGGGAGATGGAAAAGCTTCGCAGAGTTGCAGTATGTATCATATTTTGTCATGATTTTAGTCCAAGGGTTGCTAATCTGTACCAGAAAGCATATCGCAAAGGACCATAAGCGTTGCGGCGATGCCCATCTCTTTCAGTGCCCACGATGCGAGGATGGGTTTGCGGAGCCCAACGCCTTCAGGAAACACTTGATGCTCCCACGAGAGCAAATGTGTGAACCAAAATCGGACGATGACGCTGGATGGATCGACCCCGAAGACGGTCTCAGCAGTACCAAGACCCAGAAACTTTCAGAACAGATAGGGAATGAGGCTTTTAGTTCCTGGGACGAGCTCTGGAGGTGGCTATTTCCGCTGGACAGAGTGGTACCGAAGCCTGGTGAGTACTTTCATATCCAAGAATGCAAACATGTTCGCTTACAGACATTAGTTGCTCTACCCGCCGTGGAGCTGCCACTGGTAGAACAGGAAGTCTTTGCTGCCGGCAACATGTCGAACCTGAAGGCTAGCCTGGAGGAACGTCTTCGATTCCTCGCCTCGCAATCGGCCGACAGCGCCTCATTTTCTGCGCAGATACCCGTCATCACTGCGTCCCTATCACTTGATGTTGAAGCTCATCTCAGAAGCGTATTCATCTCATGCCGTAATCAGCCGCCTGTTCACACCGGGAAGTCATCAGGGTCATTAGATGCCACGACTGGCCGACCGCGGAACCTGTCGTCTGCGTCCAACTCTAGCACAAGGAGTTTCCAACGGTTCCTCGGCCCTACCATTGCCGTGAACGATACCAAGGGTGCCGCATGGGACGGTCACAGCCTTGAACGTCAACGTCAGCGCCCGAGAAGCAACAGCGATGAAGCGAGGCGCCAAAAACTGACGCGGGCCGCGACGCTTCCCGTCCCGACGATGCTGACGATACCGTTCCCGCGCATATCAGCCTTGACAGAGCACTCTGACGTGGGCCCCAGCCCAGTCTCGGAACACGGCGCCTCTCCAAGAGCCCATTCGGACGCCGAATATTCGTCGGGGGTCGAGTCTACGCCGAGCAGCGCCGGCGGCCACCGGGAATCTAGCAACAGCAACACGACAGCAGATATCCGGTGCAGCAAGTGCAACATGAGAGAAAGCCTCCAACCGGGCAAGGGCATCTTCTCAGACAAGGGCCGCCTCAGTGGTTCCTCGGCAGCAGCGCGGGGGACACTGAAGTCGACGTGCAGGTTCTCCGATTCTGGAATCGGGATCCTCTGCAATAGCTGCCGGATGCTCGAGGAGCTGATTAATTCGTACTCACGGGCTTCATCGCAGGCGTCGGCCAAATCTGAGCGACTGAGCCTGCCGGTGGCTGGTGGCGGCGGCGGTGGTGGTCCTACAGCTACCGCGAGGAGTACTGCCACGAGCACGACCACCAACACGAGCTTGAACACGGCCCCGATGACGGCGCCGCCCTATTCGCCGAATCCTTCGGTTTCGGTAGACGAGAGTGAAGAGGAGACGCTGTTTGACTTGATCCTCGACTCGGCGACGTATTTGGACCAGGACGGGCAGCGTAAGACGGAGATAGTGTCGCCCATGTTTCCACCGCCGCAGGTTGGATTTTCAGAGTATGATCGATACGGAGGGCACGGCAATAATTGGTTTTGACTGCATGCTGTTTTGTTCTATTTCCTGATGGGATGTTTCTTTTGTTATACTTTGGGTTTGGGAAGAGGAAATGAAGCGGTGTTTGGCGTTTGGGCGCTAGCGTCGCGCACTGCGTTCGGTTTCAGCCGACCGGAAGGAAAATTGTTTGATTATTCCCCATTTGTTATTATTTGATTACGAGGTTTTGTGTTGGTGGTTGCTGGGTCATGTGTGCTACCGACGTCTATACTATCATGACACTGTAGATGATAACCATGAGACCCGTGGATCTTATTTATCCTACCTCCCGATACCACAATTCCCCTCACCATTCAATATCAAGCGATATTTCCCCACGAATATACCTCACCACAAACCTCCAGCACTGCTTATTGGGCAAGTGTGTGAAACCTGGGGTTGGATGCCCGCCCTGTCCGAGCAGAAGATCCGTCAGCCCATGTTCCTGGCCAAGAATGCAGGTGCTCGTCGATCTGCAGCCGCGTCCCCGCAATTTTGGTTTAGTCGTGCGGGTGAAGAAGTACCATCTAAGTCGTCTCCCTCTCTAAGGAGCTTCAACATTAGCCTCGAACATAGATGATGAGGGGTGTAAAGAGACGCATATTCAGAAGACTTGGTTAGTCAAGTATTAACCCTCCTAGAATCCTCCAATGCTGCTATAACAGTTTCACAGCAGTGGAGGTTGTGAACTGAAGACTTGCGGCGGTACCCTACGTCCCAGACACACGAGACTAACCGTATCAGCCAATTCATCGGATCGGAACGTCAGTGACGTCGAGGAACAAGGGGCAACCCGCCCCACCACGGGGCAGACGTCATCCTTACAGCACAGCTTCAGAGGCAAATTGAGGCAACCTTCCCTTGGACAGCACGCAAGCACGGCAAGGTAGGTAGCTGTAGTTCGGAGCTTCCAGCTATCAGATGTTTGGAGAATACCTAGTGTGAGTAGGTAGAGGGCCCAGGCATGGCCGAATGGCAAGGGCAACTCGGAAACATGCCACCAAAGCTCGATCCGGAGCTTCCCCTCCTCTCTAATTACATGTGCCATTTAAATACTTCGTAGTACCCCTTCCCCCCTCTCAATCCTGCCTCCCTTTCTTTGGAAAGCTTTGTTTCTTACACCACTCTACGACAATTGAGCTCAATTCGCAACCATCTAGAGCACAATGTCGGACCGAGGAGAGGGCTACAATGCCCGCCTAGGCGTCAATACGAACGAAATCCCTACGGCACAACACTTACCCGCGGCATCGGGTGCCGAACAAGACCGGTACGGCGGCTGGTTCGGTGGCAAGGCTGATAAAGCTACCGAGAAGATGGAGCATGCTGCAGACCGCCTGAAGGAGAACCTCCCCCGCGGCGCCGGTGCAGAACAAGAGCGCTATGGAGGCTGGTTTGGCGGTAAAGCTGACAAGGCTACCGAGAAGCTCGAGCATGCGGCGGACAGACTCAAGGAGAACCTCCCTCGTGGTGCGGGCGCCGAACAAGAGCGCTTGGGAGGCTGGTTCGGTGGCAAGGCCGACAAGGCCACGGAGCAACTCGAGCACGCTGCGGATAGAATCAAAGAGAACCTCCCTCGCGGCGTCGGCGCCGAGCAAGAGCGCTATGGTGGCTGGTTTGGTGGCGACAAGGGCGACCTGGCCGCCGAGAAACTGAAACAGAACCTCCCGCGTGGTTCCGGGGCCGAGCAGGATCGCTATGAGGGCTGGTTCGGTGGCCACGAGCTCCCTTCTGCCGAGAAGCTCGGCGAGAAGCTGCCGCGTGTGTCTGGTGCTGAACAAGATCGGTATGATCGCTGGTTCGGTGGTGATAAGGGACAACCTGCCGGCACCTGGGTGAAGGAGCATATGCCGAGAGCCTCGGGCGCCGAGCAGGATCGTTATGCTGCGCATTGGGAGGGCGTAGTTGATCAGGTCACGGACAAGATCAAGGAGAAGATGCCGAGCGGCGTTGGGGCCGAGCAGGAGCGTCTTGGAGGCTGGTTTGGCGGCGACAAGCTGCCTTCTGCCTCCCAGGTCAACGAGAAGCTCCCCAAGACGTCTGGCGCGGAACAGGATCGTCTTGGTGGATGGTTCGGAGGTGACAAGTTGCCGTCTGCCTCGGACATCAAGGACAAGATCCCAAAGACATCTGGGGCTGAGCAAGATCGTTTCGGCGGCTGGTTTGGCGGCGACAAGCTACCCTCCGGATCCAAGGTCAACGAGCACCTCCCCCACGCTTCTGGCGCCGAGCAAGATCGCTTCGGATCTCACTTTGGCGGTAAAGCCGGCCAAGCCGGAGAGGGAATCTCAAGAAGACTACCGAGGGTCTCTGGCGCTGAACAGGATCGCTACGGCTCGCACTTCAGCCTCCACCCGAGCAACCCCGTCAACGCTGCCACGACATCAACACTCGGTCTCGTACAAAACGCCCTCCTCCCTTCCTTCGGCCTCCACGCCGGCCTGAGCACCGTCGTCTATGCCGTCGCGCGGTATACCGACCGCGCCGAAGCAAAGGACTGGCTGTGGCCCTCGGGTCAAGTCGCCAATGCCTGGTGGACCGCCATCGGCGCCCGCGTAGTTCACGACGGGCTCTCCGTCCCCTCTGCATGGAACTCACTCGGATACACCCAGAAGCTTCTCCTCACTGGCGTCAGCGCCTGGGGTGCCCGTCTATTCTACCGCATCGCCACCCGTAGCGTGAAGCGCGGCAAGGACGACGCCCGCTACGTCGCGTTGAAGAAAAAGGACCCCAAGTTCTGGGACAAGGCCTTCTTCAGCATGTTCTTGCCCGAGGCTGCGCTGCAGGCGCTTATTGCGTTGCCGTTCACGTTGCCTTTCCGCGCGCCGTTGACGAGTGCGCGGTCGTCTGCCTTCACTGAGTTCCCCGAGACGTTCCATAGTTTGGCTGTCTTCCTCTTCACTGCTGGTCTTGCACTTGAGACGATTGCGGACAGCCAACTTGAGGAACACTCTAGCAAGAGCAAGGAGATTAACCGCGAGGGCGTCTGGAGCATCGTCCGCCACCCCAAGTAAGTACTCCTCGAATTCAAACTGCTTCTTCATGGGCGGAAGAGCTAACCGGTCACAGCTATCTCGGCGACGCTCTCGTCCACCTCTCTTTCCCAGTCCTCCTCTACAGCGCTGGCATGCTGCATCCCCTCGCCGTCCTCGGCCCAGCCGTCAACTATATCGTCCTCCGCTACCTTGGCGGTGAAAAGGTCACCGAGGCCAGCCAGGAGGAGCGCTACGCCAAGGAGAACCCGCTCAAGTTCCAGCAGCTCCAGGAGTACAAGCGCGACAAGAACAGCTTCTGGCCGAGCTTTGGGGAGTATGACAACAAGTGGGTGTGGGCTGTTGCTGCTACTGGTGTTGTTGGTGTCGCTGTTGAGAGAGGCCTCCTTGCCTTCTTCAGAGGTTAGGTTGGTGAGAGGCAAGTGTAAGAAATAAATGTAGTGTATTACTACGCGAATGATCATTCATCGCATCTAAAATTGAGAACATTATTCAATAGCATCAGAACTGCTGTATAGTATATGTCATCTAATTGAAAGTGGCGCTCACGATAGGGCTTTTCCCTCTATCCAATTGCGTTCATCGACGATCTTTATTGACAGCAAGCATTTCATAACATTACTAGTAATATCATTCATTACTTCATTATCATGTACTGATGCTCAACCAAGTAGGTACACAAAGCCAAATATAAACATGCCAAGACTTCAGCACCTTCTAGTTGACACCTGACACTGATCCCAGCTCTACAACAAGTTCAAGTCAAGAACAATGCTCGGCGTGCCCTCGAAGCCCTGGGGCAGCGTATACGTAAAGTTCCAGAACTCAAAATCTCGAATAGGCGAGCTGGTACCGCCCATCGACCCAGCAAACGACAGCTCGTACGTCTCGTTGACGTTACCCGACACATTAACGGAGAGGCCCTGGACATCGGCCCAGCTGGTAATGGTAGGCTTCTTGATAAACGTGCCAACGACGAACGTAAAGATGGACTCGGCGGTGCCGTTGGGGTAGCTTAGGCTCAGCTTATTCGGCGCGACCTCGACGTCGAGCTCCATCTCGGTAGGGTACAATGAAATAAAAGCAATCTCGGCGCCGGTGGTCCACTGCACGACCGCCGGGTTGAAGGATTCCTGGTTGATGGAGGGACCGCCGATGACATTTTCCTTGAAGGACTCGGCGCCGATGGTGAGGTTCTCCGAGAGCCAGGTGCTGATGTTGCGGGGGACGAGGTCGTAGGGCGGGTAGAAGGTCGAGGCGGAGAAGGTGCGGTCTTCGGTGCCAAAGGTGGTGAGGTTCGCGACGAGGCCTTCGGGGAGGAGGCTTGTGTGGAAGTCGGCGAGGACGGCGAAGAGGGGGGCCCAGGCGTAGTCGGCGGCGTGCGACATGACTTGAGGCTATTCAGAGTTAGTTTGCTTCTATTTCTTTGGCTCTCACAGGTTGAGAAGACTTACGGCAGAGATGAGAGAAGAGTTCTCCTTTCCTATCAAGGTCCAGAACCACAGCGCCATCAGACTGACGTAGCGGTTCATGTCATACCCGTAAGCGCGGTCCCAAGGGCCGGCCATGTTCTTCATGCCCGGGTGCCACAGCTGCGCGACGGCCTTCCACGTGTCGGCGAGCATCTGGGGGCCCTTTTGCGTCATGACAGAGTCCTCGGGGAGGTACTTTGACCAGAGGATCAGCCCAAAGAGGGAGACGCCCGTGTAGGTGCCCGAGTTGAACTCGGAGAGGGTGTTGGCGCGGTCGAAGAGGTCAATGATCTCCTGAGCGTACGACTCGCCCGAGGCCGTCATGTTGGAATCGTTGAGGCGGCGGCCGGTGTAGCCCGAGACGAGGGCGCGCATGATGGCCTTGAGTGTCGTTAGGTATCTGCACTGCCGCAATTGTCTAAGTGAGTAAGGAACTTACGGGATTGCTGTAGGCTGGGTACAGGTTGTCATCGTCGACGCCGCCGACGCGGTACTCGTCTCCCTTTGTGGTGTTGTGCAGCGACTCGAGGATGAGATCCTGGGTGTCGTTGCTCAGCAGGTGGGGGAACTCCTCCAAAGCCATGACGAGCGTCGTGCCGACGAAGCCTCTCCAGTTGGGGTCCCATGAGTTGTAAATGCTGTCCTCGTAGTAAGGCGATCCCACGTACGGTTCTCCGTCGTACTTTTGGTAGTCTCCGTACCTTCGTGTCGTAGTAGAGTCAGTATCGTGCATCCATGTCAGCCGAGGTCAAAGTAGCTCTCACCATTGCTCCGAGACATTCTTGAACTGCGCGCCAATGGTGTTCTTGATAATCTTCTCTGCCTCGGCGGCATCGTCGCCATCGTTGCGCGCGAGAAGGCCCAGGGCGTACCATACGGAGCTGCGCGTCTCGTGTCGAAGTGCGGACGCGGATCCAATGTCATAGAGGTACCCGGCGGAACGGTCGTAGTACTGGTCCATCCACGCCATGGACTCAGTCAAGAGGCCCTGTGCGTTGGTGGAGAGCTTGGCGACATACGGCGACACCGCCATTGTTGAGCTGGCAAGGGCTAGGATGCCCACTGCCTTGAAGGTCACTGCCATTGTGAAGGGAGGAGAAGAGGGACCAGTTGACGAGTAACAGAGTCCGAGGGAGAGGATTGGAAGCTCAACAGAAACCTGAGGTAGGGGACTGAATTGCGATCCCGAGGCGGTGGTCTAGAGCTACCTTAATATACACTAACATATCGAATCTTGCTGTCTCTTGGCCGCGGCCAAGACCGCGGCCAAGAGTTGCCCATATCGCGCTGGGCCCCGGAAGATCGTCGTCATTGCACTGATAGAAGCCGCGTGACCGGAGACGAACGGCAGAGATGTCATGTTCAAGCAAAAACCCCTCCACCGGGGTGCGCAATCAAGCAAGGCAAGCTACTTTAGCGGCAGTGGCTGGGGGGGTCCCTCTCTTGACTTCGGGTCGGTGATGTTGGCCAGGTTAGGTAAGAATGCGGAGGTGATAACGAGGGTGGGAAGACATGGGGACATTTGACAACCCTTCGTCCTTAGCATTGGAAAGGCGGGATGAGAGTCTAGAGACTAGAGAACATGAACAGTTCGCATTCGTAGACCTTGGCTCAGTGGGACGTTGCAATTCCCAAAGGTGGGAGAGAAATCCCTGTAGCCGAGGAGAGGCAGGATGAAGAAGCGTTTCGGGGCATCCCCGAGCGAAAGAACAGGTGATGGCCCGGAAGGACAGTGGTATCACTAGGTTACGGGTATGAACCGGGGTCGTGGAAGAAGAAAGCCGGGGGAGATGCGAGATGCCCGGTTGGCTCTAACAAGGATCGTCCCTGGCCGATGACTCGGTGCCCCCCTGGCTCGTCTCTTCTCCGCACTTTTCGCAGTCCAGAAGGGCAGAAAAGAATTCAGATGGTGTGGTACGGTTTAAGGTCCGATGAACGGGGGGCTTGGTCTCTTTGGAGAAGTTGGAGGACCCGGTCCGATGTTTACCGGGTGATAATCACATCCATATGCCGTATCTTTTCCCTTCACACTAATCAACTCCTACAGATACTAGCAGTATGATTTTATCTGCCCCGTAGCTCCAGGATGGACCCGTCGTATCGGATCGCGGCAAAGCACGGCTTGTTTCCGGGGGACACACAAAAAACTGTAAACACAATCGTTGTCAATTCTCGATTGATGGGGTGAAATCACCTGATGGGTCTCTTAAGGACCCCGTTCACACTATCAATTGTGGACTAACGGCATTCTGGGGGCGAAAACACCGTAAGGGTCCTACAGTTTTGGCATGGATATATGTTTACAATACCGCCCGCGCGTGACAATGGCACGCGAGACACGACTCGCTGCGGTGTTCACTCGAAAATTGGCAAGAGTTGACATCGAATTGTGAACAGACATCACTTTGGCAGTGTTCAAGATAGAGATCATGGCAGACGTCAAGACACCTACCGACATTTCGTCGAGTCCGAGGCGGAGCGTCGATGCTGCGCCGGAGAAGAACCTCGACGCAGATGAGATTCGTCTGGCGCAGATGGGCAAGTCTTCCCCATTTGTAGTCTTTTAAATCATCTTCTAAAGCTTGCACCAGGCCACACCCAAGAGCTCAAGCGCCACTTCAGCACCCTCAGTCTCATCGGCCTCGCCTCAACGACGACGATATCGTGGACAGGCCTGGGCCTGGGCCTCATCACCGAGATCAACGCCGGTGGGCCCGGCGCCGTCATATACGGCTTCATCCTCGTCACCCTGCTGCAATGCTTCCTCGGCGCGTCGCTGGCCGAGTTCGTCTCGTCGTATCCCACCGAGGGTGGCATGTATCACTGGATCGCCGCCGTGGCGCCGAGGAGGCTGACGGGTGTCTTGAGTTTCTTCACTGGCTGGTTCAGCGTGCTTGGCTGTAAGTTCTCTCAAAGCCCAATCACATGTCAAGGCGGGGAGACTGACTTGCGTCCTGTTCAGGGATCTTCACAACTGCGTCGACGAACTTAATCTATGCGCAAGTTCTCATGGCCTTGATCGCGCTCTATCACGGAGACCTCGAGATCCAAGCGTGGCAAACGTTCATCGTGTACCAGGGGCTGAACCTCATCACTGCCGGAATCGTCATGTTCGGCAACAAGATCATTCCAGGACTGAACAAGTTTTCGCTCTTTTACCTGCAAATCGGCTGGTTCGTGGTCATGGTCACCGTTGCGGCATGCGCCCCGACGCACCGCAACACCGAGTTCGTGTTCCGTACGTGGATCAACAACACCGGCTGGGAGAACCAGGTCGTCTGCTTCATCACCGGATTGGTCAACCCTCTGTATAGTCTCGGTGGACTCGATGGAGTAACCCATATCACTGAGGAGATGCCGAACGTGAGTCTTTTCTTGTTCCCCTGTCTCTTGACAAACAACGTGTATGCTGACCACTTCCTCAGCCGTCTCGTAACGCACCCTTGGCTATCGCCATCACGCTTTGCATTGCCTTCGTCACGGGCATCACCTACCTGATCACCCTCATGTTCTCCGTCCAGGACTTTGACGCCCTGTCCACTACCAACACTGGGCTTCCGCTGGCTGAGCTGTTCCGTCAGGTCACGCAGGGTGCTGGAGGAGCGTTTGGTCTCAAATTCATCCTATTCGTTGCTCTGGGCCCCTGCGTGGTCAGTTCCCAGTTGAGCACTGGCCGTGTTTTCTGGGCTTTCTCCCGTGATGGCGCCATGCCCTTCTCCCGAATGTAAGTCGGTCCTTACTTGATAACTGCATCGCAAGATCCATCGATTCTGACATATCCACGATAGCTTGTCAAAGGTCCACTCCAAGTGGCAGATTCCCATGAACTCTCAGCTCGCCGTCACCGCAGCTGTCGCAATTTTGGGCTGTCTCTACCTGGGCTCGTCTACCGCGTTCAACTCTCTTCTCGGCTCCGCCGTTACCATTAACAACATCTCCTACATGTTCCCCATCGTCACAAACCTTCTGACGCGCCGGAAGAACATGCACCGCGGCGTGTTCCACATGGGGCCGACGTGGGGTCCCATTGTCAACGGCGTTACTGTCTGCTGGCTGACCTTTGCCATTGTCTTCTTCTCTTTCCCGTACGTGATGCCTGTTGAGCCCGCCAACATGAACTACACCTGTGTTGTTGTTGGTGGACTTACTGTTCTGGTCGGCGCATGGTGGTTCAAGGCTGGCTCGAATTACAGCGAGAAGATGCTTCAAGCAAAGGAGGAGTAATTAGACACAAGTCACGGGAATAGAATCTTCTCCACCCTAGAGATGATGGAGGGGTTCTTCGCTTCTCTTGAACTCTAGCAACGGGCCCTCAATTTTCTGATGGGATCTGGCACATAGTGTAAACTACATAAACTGAATACAGAGCCAGATTGCCGGATTGGACAAGTTTGTTCCTGCGGGTGTAACTTCGATGCACGTAACCATCCCGTCAACCTTACGGTCCCACAGAACCAAGTTTTAGGCACTACTGCACTGTGCTTGGTTTGCATGGATGGAGCAAGCAATTTAGTGTTCCAAGTTGATGCCACCCAGCTACCGGATACGTGGGTTGAGCCACGTGGGGTTGACGGGGCCAAAGGACCCCCCTTTCGCAATGGGCTACCGGCCAAGTCGGAGAGCGAACACCGGTGGAAGTCAAGAATCCGGCGACGATGACGGTGAGGATTGCCGATGTAATTTGAGAAGCTTTGGTTGTTCAATAGAAGCGTACTCGAGTTCACTGCACGTGGTGGTAGAGCTGGCTCGGGGCAGGCTATTATCTGAACTTTTGGAGATTCTTATTCTCACATTCACCAATACACTTTCACATTCATTACCTTAGCAACATCAATTTAGAGACATTTCAAAATCCTTGGGGTCTCATACACTCCCAGAAATATCTTCCTATTATCAGTCAAGTTTATCAAGACGACATCAGACACGATGAGGCTCATCATCAGACCTGATAGTGTATCAGCATCTGCCCATGTTGCACACTACATCCTCGGTACGAGCGTACCTTGATTCTATCGAGGAGCTCCATTCGGATTCTGATCCCTTATAGACCGTATTAGAACCTTCGAGCCAACGACAGAGAAGCCATTCGTTCTCGGATTGCCTACGGGTAGCAGTCCGATCCAGATCTACGAGATCCTCGTTGCAGAGCACAAGGCCGGCCGCATTTCGTTTGAAAATGTCATAACCTTCAACATGGTAAGTCGCTTAACTTGTAAAAGCTCTGAATGTTATCTTACCATTCTATTGAAAAAGACGAGTACGTCGGCCTGCCACAAACACATCCCGAGTCATACCACAGCTTCATGTTCCGCCACTTCTTCTCACATGTCGACATTAAGCCCGAGAATGTTCACATTCTTGACGGCAACGCATCTGACTTGGATGCCGAGTGCGCCTCCTACGAGGAAAAGATCAGAGCTGCTGGCGGCATTGACCTCTTCCTCGGGGGCGTCGGCCCGGACGGCCACATCGCTTTCAATGAGCCTGGTTCAAGTCTGGCGTCTCGTACGAGAGTGAAGACCTTGGCGATGGATACAATACGCGCAAATGCCCGATTCTTTGGTGGTGATTTGAACAAGGTCCCGCAGATGGCTTTGACTGTTGGCGTACAGACAGTGATGGAGGTGCGTGTTTCTCTTTTCTACCCGCGCCACTTCCCCAGGAATCGACAAGGTACTCGCAGCTGCAAAGAATGATTTTGCTGATAATTATGGACAGGCAAGAGAAGTAGTCATTATCGTGAACGGAGCCAGCAAGTCAATCGCTCTCCAAAAGGCCATTGAGGGAGGCGTGAATCACATGTGGACGCTGTCGTGTTTGCAATTGCACCCCTACTCAATGATCGTTGCAGACGAGGACGCAACATTGGAGTTGCAGGTCAAGACAGTCAAGGTATGAATCTGAAAACGCCAGTGAGGTTCTGATCGAAGATTCGCTGACTTGTACGCCTCTCTAGTATTTCAAGAGCATTGAGAAAGTCGGACTCGGAAAAGGTTTCGAGCAGAAGCTGCCTTTGAGATTGAGGACCACGTCGCTTGCCAGCCCTCCTCAGACGCCCCAAACACCGTCTAATGCAAAGACGACGTTTGATGTGGACCACTTGGTGGAGTTGACGCCAGATAGCATGTCGTCTCGCATCGCTTCATGGCCTGTAATCTAATTGACGTTGCCAATTCGCGCAGGGTCATGGCCTGGGGGTGAATGGGCACATGTCATTTGTAGACCCATAGTTCAGAGTGCGGATAATACCAGAATCAATGATTTAATGAATCAACAGTTCCATTCAAACTTCACGAGGGCGCAAGTGAGCCACTCTGGGAAGACTGAATGAGTGGATGGCTTCGAAGACTATCCTCCCTGATTCTCATACGACCAAAGCTCATAGCCTGCTTGTAGACTCGACTGGTCGAAGATGTACCACGAGTTATCCAAGTTGCGAATCTCTTGCTCAAACACCTCGGCATCTCCTGAAGCGGGGGTATGTAGACCCTGAAGCTTCTGATCAAGTCGCGTAGCCAGAATGCCTCGCAAGCTGGGCTTCGGCTCGTGCATCTCCTTCAGCTTTCGGAGATGAACTCCCACGTTCTCAAGATCTAGGGTATATCTGTTTAGTAGTGAACTCTTTCCATCGGTAAAGAAAGGCGTGAACTTACCATCTGGCTCCCCTACTCCGCCATCTACCCCTTGAAGTACGATGAGAGCGGCCCAGGTGATCATGACGAGATCCCAATTAGACCATATTGAAGCATCACAGATCTGGAGCTTGACAGCTGCCCTCGCTGAAACCAGCAACTCGTGCTGCTCTTTCGGTGTGGTGTTCGAAAAGAGGTTGCAGCCGCGGGCAGGGTGGTAGATGGACAACACGAGCAGTCGGTGCAGGATATACTGCCGGAACACAAGCTTCTTCTCGTGCTCTGACTCAAAGTCCTTGTCGCTGAACTCGACAAGCCAGTCATCCAGCTGCCGTGCCCAGTCGCGGATGACCGCGCCATCGACACCGCTAAACTGGACGGAAGAGATCTGTGAGACGCTGGGCTCGCTTTCGAAACAGGACCATATCGTGGGCAGACCTCTGCCTGTGAAGTGGGTTAGGCCTGTGTGCATCATTCTCGAGAGCCGGTAGAGTTGGTCTTGTATTGGGATCTTGAGACGCGGGAGGGGCGCTTCGATGGGTATGACAGGGCAGGAGAGGTGTATTGAGGCGTGCTCAAGGTCGACGATCTACACTAGGTTAGAAAGATGCAATTCCCCGTTACATCGTCATTGTCATCTTACCTGAAGGCCCGAAAATAGGCGCTGCCACTCGCGGGACCGTTCATCAGTGTTAGAGGGGCAATGCTCCAAGATGAGACGATATGCGAGAGAAATCCAGAGCCCCGTCTCTTTAACGACCGCTTCCCTTAGCAGGCCGGCGAGTATAATGCCCAAAACCGTTTGAAAAGCCCATTCCTCAGCCGAGGCTGGGTCATCGGGGGCTTGGCCGACTTCGCTCTGTGGTATGCACAGCTGAGAGATGGCACTGCACAAGACGTTGAAGTAGTCTGGTGCCAATACTGCAACCTCGGGCAGGCCTCGTATACTCGAGCAATAGAGCATCGAGGCCAGCATGAGTGGCCTCGGTGAAGAGAAGGTCTGCTTAGTTGGGAGAAAGTGAAGCCCTGGCATGGTCTCGTGGAAGCTGAGGGGGTGTCAGATGTGTTGAAGCAACTAGGTACGGGGGAGGGCAGTGGTGTTGGAAGATTGAAGGGAACATACGATAACCACAGCCTCTTGATCAGGGATTTCTCCCAAATATTCGAGCCCGCATTTGACGAACACGTCCTTCGTAAGACAGACACCGCGCTCCAAAGGGCGCCGAGAGATGTTTCTCCAGGTGTCTCGGGCTCGAACGTTGGTACATCTGGGGACGCGGGCGAGTCCGGTTCTTCCAAGTTGGTGAGAACTGGTAAGCCCAAGTGGTCTTCAAGTCGCTTCAGCCGAAGAAAGACAGACTTATGTAATGCGGGAACATGCTCCTTTGCTTGGATCAATGATGCCAGCGAGAGACTTTCACGATGAGACGCGGACTGGTTCATTCGTCAGACACGTCTGGGGACAACGGGACGGTGGGATGACTGCCTACATTGGCTCTGGGCACAAACACGCACGGCACTCCTGCGCGGAGGCATCTTCGACATGTGGCCCCATTCTCAATTCTACATTTCATCTGTCCTCACGAAAGACCGGTTAGGCTCTTGGTCTTTTCCGAATGGCCAGCTCGAGGCCGACATACCTTTTGCCTTCTGCAGTTGACTTGAAATGGACACGTCCGTCAGCCTCCACGGTTGCATGCAACGAGACGGAGTCCACCATGTGCTTACCGCATGCCTTCCGGGCCTTACTCGGGCCCGACTCATCCGGCCCATCGGCCGACGCTTTGTCCCTCACCTGGTGAGCAGACATTATGAAAGCGATTGTTGGTGCACTGATACTTTGAGCGTTGTTCGAGTTCCACTCTATCAATTGCGACAAACACCGGTTTCCACGGCCTTGTTCTCGGCCAGGTTTCGATTTACTGTTGCTTTCTTCGGCGGGTACCCGGTGAAACAGGTGGGATCGGGGCAGAGTAAAGATTCACCGGTCGCACCGGGGAACCGGTCGTTTTGAAGATTTGGGTGACGAGAGGTAACGCGGGGTCAAGGACCCAGTCCTCGATAGGCCGGGGGGTTGTTATTGGAGGGGTTTCTGGCTAATTTCAACCGGTCCACCGAGCCAACCCGGTCCGGAATCACCGGGCATGCGATAATTATGGTAGACTGCACCAATTGCGAGTACCCTACTCTTAGTTCTTACAGTACATTCCGATGAGATGACCTTCCTTTTCTTTCCGAACAGATGTATCCTAGCTGCAGGAGTTGGTTCAAGTTCCGGAGCCAAAATCGTCTTTTTGCCGCGGGGGCTTGGATACTTGATCGGTTGCCTGCTGAGTGCTATTGATAGGCGTTGGCACCCATGAACCTAGCCCTTCCCACCAACACAACTGCCTACGACTAACATTGCCTGTTGGAAAAGTGGTGTGTTTCAATGTCTTTGATCAATTCTGAGTATGGCAGGGCGTCTGAGTTGATAGCTCTGGCCCGGGAAATCGCACATGACTTCGATTTTCCACCAGAGGATGTTCGTCGCGCCACAACTCACTTCTTGAAGCAGCTTAGTAAGTCTAGACAACGCTGAGTTGTTGTACCGCATGCTGATATTGCAAACAGACGAGGGCCTCCAGAAGGATGGCACTTCTATGTGCCAAATTCCTTCATTTGTAACAAAATTACCCAATGGCTCCGAAAAGGGCGTCTGCTTGGCCATCGACCTGGGCGGCACCAATTTGAGGGTGTGCTCTGTTGAGTTACACGGAGACTCCACCTACTCCTTGACTCAGTCCAAGGCCGTCATTCCCAGGCACTTGATGGCTGCACGAACCTACAAGGATCTCTTCAGATTCATCGCTGTGCAGATGAAAGAGTTCCTGGAGAAGCATCACCCAGAAGACCTTACAACATGGTCGCAACTCCTCAAGGAGGGAGATGCAATCACTGAAGAAATACGGCAGAAGCACTGCAAAAGCCTTGGATTTACTTTCAGCTTTACCTTTGATCAGCATACCATCAACATGGGAACGTTGCTGTACTGGACGAAATCGTTTGGTATCGCTGATGCAGTCGGTCGCGACCCATGCGCCATGCTGCAGGAAGCCCTCGATGAGCAACTCCTGCCTCTCTTGGTAACTGCACTTGCAAACGATACCGTCGGCACTTTGGCCGCGAGAGCATACACATCTCCGGGTCGCTCTAGTAACGTAGTAGGCGCAATCTTTGGAACCGGGACCAACGGAGCGTACATGGAGCGCATCTCTCGCATCACTAAGCTGCATTCACGAGCAGAGTTCTCAACCTCAGACTCGGATGCTATGATGGCGCTGAACACTGAATGGGGAGGGTTCGATGGCAAGCTGGAAGTGCTGCCTTCCACACGATTCGACCGAGACTTGGACCAAGACTCTGTCAACCCAAACGATCAGCATTTCGAGAAGCGCATATCCGGCATGTATCTTGGCGAGCTACTCCGGCGGATTATCATCGACTTTTCATCGTATGATCAGAGCCTCTTTGACTTCAAAGTCTTAGGAGACTCGCCGTTATATACACCGGATAGTATTGACAGCTCTTTGCTGTCGGCAGTTGTTAAGGATTCAACATCAACGCTTGAGGGTGCGCGTAAGGAGATATCAAGAGTACTCGGTGCTACAGACGTATCAGCGGATGATGCAAAGGCAATACGGATTCTTTCCGAGGCTATTGGACGTAGATCAGCCAGGCTATCTTCTATTGCCATTGCAGGAGTGGCTCTTCAGTCTGGAGTTCTCACACCCAAAAGCATAGTCAAGCCAGTAGCGACAACATCAAGAGGCTTGGGTATCAACATTCTGAAACCCTTCATCTATGGAGCACGAAGCCTGTGGAACCTGCTTGCGAGTTGGCTTCATGTCAAAGTCCGGTTCGCAGTTCCGTCAAAGGGCACATCGAGCGTATTTCCGGGACTCAGGGACGGAGGCAATTGCCAAGCGGAAGCTGATGACGAGAACTCGAACGAAATCATCGATATCGGGGTTGATGGTTCTTTGATTGAACACTTCCCCAACTTTGAAGAGAACCTGCGAGAAGCCTTGAGAGAAATTCCAGAGATTGGTATTGTGGGTGACAAGAGAATCAGGATCGGCATGGCGAGAGATGGGAGCGGAGTGGGGGCGGCCTTGATTGCATGGGCGGCGAGAGCCTAATATACGGAGTCTGGTTGAACTAGGCATCAATAAATGGGCACTTGAAGTTCAAAGAAAATGATTTAAGTATGACTGAACACTTAGTGCTAACTCAAAGGTGATACTGCCTCCAAACTGTCCCATGGCTAGGAGTGGAGGTGACACGTTCCTTTCGTTCTCTGATCAAGAGTGATGCGGTGTTGGATAGGTAACATCTCGATTCACAGTTCACTGCGAGACCGAGTGATCATGCGAGTTGAGACGAGTCTCGCCGGAGCTTCCATCCTCGGTTCATTCACCATGTATATTTCAGTGTATAAATATCCAAACTCTTGCTACAGATCTGACAGCAGAGCTCAAGTTGACTTATTCCCAATGCTTTGATAATAATCAAAATTAACCCCTGCACTCTCTGGCTCCTCAAAAACGATAATCTCATAATGTGTATACTATATCTGATCGGCTTCACTTGCATGGCCGGCAAGGGTTGTGCACATATGGCCACGACTGACCCGCCCCCAATTAAAGCCAAAGGGGACCCACATACCCTTCCTGAGAACGTCGACTTCAGTTACACAGCCCCATGATTCTCAAGTGGCTCCGACCTTCCTTGCAAAGGCTACTTGAATTTCATAGGAACCCATGAGGCAGCGCCCGTTGATACATAGAACGCTGGTGGTAGCTACTCTGTCACGATTTCTGGCCATGCTGTGTGCAGGTGGATCATGCCAAATCAGCGTTTCGGTTGACGGTCACAGTTCATTCAAGGTCATACGCAGCTTCATCGGCGGCTGCCCAAGTGACGACGCTACTCAACTCGCATCTAGACCGCCTGATGAGATGTCATCTGCTGACCAGGCGATTCTTGCTTGGACGTGGTTTAACAATTTTGGGAATAGGGAGATGTACCTGAACTGCTCCGTAATCAGGGTTCAGGCGGAGGCGGTGGAGGAGGCCATGGTGAAAGTTCCAATCAAAGCCCGGAGATCTTCAGGCGAATGTGGGAAATGGATGCAAGACGGTGGACTCGCGGGATGTCATGATCCCGAATCCGGGGCCAGATGTGGAAGTCAGTAATTCCGATGCTGTGCCGCCGATTGGTGACTGTGAATTCGGGCCCGGGGCGATTGCGGGGTCCGGTTCGGGGTCAGGTTCGGATAACGGGGGCAACGGAGGCAGCGATGACGGTAGAGGAAGAATTCACGAGCCTGGCAATGACTGGCCTGCAGACTTCAACCCGGATTCCGGCAAAGTTGTGGCGGATGAACAGATACCAGGTCTCATTTGCACTTGCTTTGCCGTCACTTCTGTCTGTTTATGTTGGGATTTATGGACGATCGGCTTTCTCGTATGCTTGCTTAGCTTGTTTAAGATATTGATCCCCAGTACGTTACACGGAAAATAGGAGTGTGAGCGCGAACGGTGCTGACAGTCAGGTTGGAAAGGAAAAAGAAAATATTCAAGCAGAACATGATTGAAATTGTATCAGCAAGATTCTCAAGGCACCAGAATAAGTGACCCGACATATGGTGGGAGTAAAGCGGGAAAAAGGCAAAAGGATAAGGTCGTGCCCGGGTTCGAACCGGGGTTGCCGGAAAGGTTCGATTTTGATGTTATCAAAATCCGGAGTGATAACCACTACACTACACAACCCTTGATGGATGACATGGGCACTTTGCGCAACCTATGTTCCAGAGCAAGTGGAGCAGTTGTTGTTGTGTGGCCAGCGATGACTCATCACTATCCCCTCTAGCGTACCACAGACAGGTCAGTGAGTTCGCCTCTCTATTTTCCTTCTCTCTCGAAATAATTGTTTGCCTATGTTATTGTCACAGTCGCCCCGTGGACCTCGATTCCACAGCGATGGAGAAGAAAATTTGACTGATGGATAATGCTAATGACATGTTTCAGATGCCTGGCAATCCACCATGCCTGCGAAATTACTGCTTTACGACAGACGCGTTGCGCTTTACCAGATACGTGAGCAAATCCGCCCAGGCAATTTCGGGGCGTTTAACACGAACTCCGGTAGATGCCCCGCCGATAACGGTTTCTGTGGGGGGAATCGAGAGCAGTATCCTTCCATATCGCTGAATCACGACGTACGGAAATGATGAAAGTGAACTTCTAGAGAACGTCGAACCTCCCGGATCACAAGATGCATGCCGCTATGATGGTTCCCCACAGGCTACATGCGAATGCGACTCCCCGCATTTTACCCCGGAGTTGCTGAGGTTCTGACGCGTGGTGACATTTCGGGATCTCCCACCCATGAACCCTCGCCGTTGCACTCCCGGCCCGCAACTTCCCCCGGGTCCGATGATGATGGAGTGAAATTTGTGATCCGCAGACACCATGAAATAGCCCAAATTATCTCAGCCAGTCGTGGACTCATGGGACGGAGCTTCCAATTCCACGACTCAGCATCGTTCCACTCCAAAAGCCCGCTTACTGGAGCTGTATGTGTTCAGTTGCGACATGATGAAGGTACCTGGCCCCCACCGAACATTTACGGATAGTTGTAGTGTGCTCACGATTTCTAGGTCTTCAAATCACTGTCGGCTATTATGCTTTGGGTGGCCATATTCACACTGTCATGCTTTGCCACAGTAGCTGACATTCCTGGTATTTTCGGGCCAGTGCCAGTCATATCTCCGTCTCCCGCGAGTGATGTTTCAAAGTACTTCAAGAGCCGACCAAGTGATTTCGTTCATCCCGGTATCTGGCACACACATGAGGATCTAGAGCGCATTCGTAACGGAGTCCTCGAAAACAAAGATCCCTGGGCATCAACCTATGCTGTCTTCAGCAAGGACAGCTACAGCTTGGCGACGTATGAGATGAAGGGGCCAAAGCCAGTCATTTCACGCGGCAGCGTCAGCAACTACACATCCTTCGCCTCCGACGCCCGAGCTGCATGGCAGAATGCGCTCATGTGGTACATCACAAAGGATGACGCCCACTGGAACCGTAGCACGACCATCTTGGATAGCTGGGGTTCCACCCTAGTCAACATCATCGGGACGGACCGCTCCCTCCTCATTGGCCTTGACGGCGATCTTTTCGTCAATGCCGCGGAGATCATGCGCTGGGAGGGGAACTGGACTGAGTCCGGAGCACGCTGGCAAGGCGGGTCTGGCTTCAGCATCCAGCTCTATTGGTTGTTCTCGAGGCAGTCGATCCCTATTGGCCAGGCGAATTACGGAATGGCTAGTATCAAGGCCCTCTTGAGCTTTGCTGTCTACCTCGACGATGTCACTCTTTACAACTATGCCATCAATGAGTACTTGAACAACCCCTGTGCGGGGCTATACTCGTTCTTCGAACCCGAGACGGGCCAAAGCTCGGAGTCTGGCCGCGATCAGAGTAAGTTCGCCTCCATCAATCGAGGACAACTGTGGCTGACAATTTCCAAAGGCCATGCCATGTCCGGCCTGGGCTGGGTTGCTCAGGCTGCACGGGTAGCTCAGAGTCAGGGTTCTGACCTCTACAGTCAAGGTGACAACCTCCTGCTGAAAGGTGCAGAGTATACGGCCAAGTTCAACTTGAATGGGAGTGTCCCGTACGAACCAAAGTGGTATCGATGTGAAGCCGTTCTTGTCAATGGGCCTTGGGCAGCCATCTCCCAGGACAAGCGAGGTGTAACGGCCACAAACCCAATGTGGGATATCCTGTACTACCAGTATGTTGTCAAGAGAGAGTTGGAAGCGCCTTGGGTCACAAAGGCCAAACAGACTGTTGGGTCCGAGGGTCGCTTGACCAGTAACGATCATCCTAGTTGGGGAGGGTTGATATGGGCTTATTGAATTATGCTAGCTTTTCTGTCTACTTACGTGTAGGTAAAACAGCGAGAGTACATAACCACTGGAACAAAGCAACGACCATGATGACAAACCCACAGCCCTAGTTTAAGTTTTCGCGCGATTTTCGATCACTGGGGGCACACATGGGCATGTGTTCTTGTCAAGACTCACACCGTCCTTGAAAAACCAGTAGTAGGAAAGTGCATGCGATCTATATAAGAGGTAGCCAGCATAACTCAAGGCTGGTAGCTGCGGTGAAGTGCAGAACGTGTGCACAAGACGACGTGTCGTGGTATGGACGAGAGTAATATTTGAGTATAAACAAGAAGTATATGTTATCTGAATGAGAGTAAGGAAGAGAGAAAAGAAAAAGCAGTAAAGCTGACTGCGTATTCGCTTAGCGTAAGGGACTGTGAGGGGCCTGGGGTCAAAATCAAATCTGAATCCTCCCTGATTCCCGAATAATAGTCCGGTGGAAGAGCAACTATTCCCAAACCTACTCCAATCTGTAAAGGAGTGTACCGAACCCCAATTGGTCGTATCCGCCACTGGTCGTGCCGTAGTCACCACCTCCTCCCTCAGCACCCCCAGCTTCCTCGACCACGTGGTCGCGCATTTGCTCGGTCCAAGAAGCATTGAGCCCTTTGATGACACCGTAGTGGTTGTAGAGCAGCTCCCAGATAGGCCGGAGTCCGCCACGTCCAGCTTCACTAATATTCACAGCCGTGCCGTGGCTGTTGGTAAAGTTGGTAAAGGGGACGTCAAATCCGAGGTTGTACTTTGCGGCGTACTCCGATCTTGATCTCATGTTAGCTATGACGTCTTAATTCTGTGATAAACTTCACTTACCCTGCCAAAATCCTGCTGTCGAGATACGAAAACAAGTCATCGCCCTGGTTGTAAGACTGTTGCGCAAAGACGCCCAAGAAAGCAAAGTCCAGCAGAGCATGCCCCTGGTCACGACCGGCCTCCTGGCCCTGACCAAGAGCCTTGCCTGAACCTTCCTCTTCATGCAACTCCCAAATGGCTATCTCGATGGCGCCGTTACCCGCACCGTTCTTGAAGTAGTCGACGGCTTCGTTGTACATGGTCTTGTTATCCGTCAAAATTCCGATAGCCTGCATAGTGCACATATTGGCCAAGTCCCAGTTGGCCCAGTAGTGGTCGATGACGGCGCCATTGTGCTCGATCAGAAATCTGCGGTTCATCGGGTAGAAGACTCTCTGCAGCATCTCGGCCATCGCAGACAAGCCGTCCCAAGCCTTCCACTCCCGCAGAATCTCTGCTGCGTTGGCGAGCTGGAAGCCGTAGATGCCCGACGCAAGGTACTTATCCGAAGACCCATTGATGTAGACGAGCGAGTCGCTCCAGGCGTCAAGGATCCGAGCAGACGCGTTGGCATGGGCCTCGTCGCCTGTGATCTTCCAGGCAATAGCGTTGGTGTAGGCGGCGTGAGCATCGCGGTAGAGAGATGGGTAGTTTTCGGGGTTACATTCGCGACCTGCACCGCCGCGGCAGACGGTCTCCTTGGGATTGGGAGTGTAGGCTGCGTTGGCGCGGGTCTTGAGTTTGCTCCAGCCGGTTGTCCATGGCTCCTTCTGGGCGTCGACGAGGCCTGTGATGCGGCCGAAATCTTTGCTGGTATGAAGGAGGCCGGGGTGCTTGAAGGTTGATCGGGAAGAGTTGGAGCAGAGCGCATACGCATCCGAAATCAACAAGGAGGAACTCAAAAGAGTGACAAGGTTGCTAGAAAGAGAGTTGAACTTCATTGTGAACAGATATGGTGGTCTGAGACCAGCCCAGAACTACTGAGTGAAGAGAAACACAAAGAATTGTAGGTACGATGGCCTGCTAGAAGCTGAGGTGAAAGCCGAGTAGATCATTCGGATATATAAGGTAGTCGTCAAATCCTTGAGCAGAATCGTCCCATTCTCGGGACTCGTTTCGATATCTGATATGGATTTACTGCCCAATTCTAGCGCCCGGGACTTTCCCCGACCATTGTCGCAGTGGGTATTCCGTAGACAAAAGAATGCGAATGTGATAAAGAACATATCGAATTTTGTCGACCCCTGAGTAGTGGTGGTCGACTCCGACGAATCCTTGCGCTCCGAGAACGAGATTTAAGGGGTGTGTCAGCTGAGACCCAAGGTCTAATGTGTGGAGTTGAAGGTAGTGCCGAGCAGGCTAGTTGCAGATCCCATGTGGCTGTCAACATCGTTCATGACCGGGGTCGTACGCCGGAAACTACCCCGGACAAAACTTCGACTGCATATCTGACATCTAACAAAAGGCAACTTCAACTGACTGCATAGACGCTCAAGTGACTGAATACGTTCTGTGGGTTCACTCGTCACAACTACTAGAAACATAAACATAAATTACACAGAATGTAAATGTTGATATTTATGTGGCTAAGACTGGGTAAGATGAGAATTCGTGGTTGAAGAGTCTAGCAGTTACAAGCCTTTAATCACAATCAGGTGCTACGGGTTTTCAATAGCTTGCATGATGAATATTAGGACAAAAACAGACAGTAAGGAGTTACTGATCATGAATCCATGGTGTTTTGGGAAAACGCGCGTGTTTAATTGAGTCTACCTGATGGCGGTATCATGAATCGAAGAGAAACAAGGAAACTATGGGGAAAGTATTTAATACTGGTACAAGCCAGAGCCAAGAAGTGCAGAAGGTGCCAGATGAGCAGCCGCTGAGTTCAAAGTTCCAAACTTCTCCAGGACTGCCGAAAGAGTGTTGTGAGCTGGCTGGAGACCACCGTCTACCCATCCACCAAGGAACGAAGTGCAATCACTGTTGATCAGAACCCGCGAAGTCTGGGTCTGGTTGATTCTCTCCCAATCGTAGAAAAGAGACTCAATGCTGACATCTTGCCCCGGGAATCCCAAAGAGAAAGCACCGTACGAGTAGCGGTCAAGAGGCCAATGGACAAGGTAAATGTCGTCGTCAGTGACGGGCTCAAGAAGGCTGGCATACTCAGGGAAGTCGGACTCTTGCATGATTCTATCAATCTGCGTCTTGAGCTCCGTGAGAAGCTCCTTGGGATCCGAGATAGCCGTCATCTGCAGAGAAAGGTCCTCCCAGGCATAAGTAACGAGGACCATGCCGTAGTCGGGGTGTCCGTAGTCTAGGGTGTACGTCTGCGGCAGGTTCGTGTCCGAAAGAATGACTCGAGGGAAACCAGCCCCCTGAGTTTCCCAGAACTTTTTGGTCCGGATGAAGAGTTTGGATGAAGCGGTCATATGGAGATCATTGATGGCTCTCTGAACTTCCAACGGCATAATCGGGTCCTCGGTGGTCTCCGAGACTGGAGTAAAGGCGTAATTCATAGCCCGGTTGCTAGTTCCGACAACGACAAGGTCATAGTCGACATTGGTAGACGCGCCTCCAGAAGTCTCTCTCACACCAACAGAAAGGCCGCCGAGGGCATCACCGCCGCCACTGGTGACTTCGGCGACAGTTGAGAACTTGGTCTTGACACCAAGCTCGGTCGCCTTTTCCCAGATTGTCTGGGCAAGATCCCGAATACCGGCAGGTTGCAGGCCTGAGTCGGTAACTTTGGCAAAGACAGCCTGGTCTGACTCGAGGCCGTTGACGACCAAGCGGAAAACGGAATTGAAGCCGGCAGAGTAAACAGCACCAAAGCCGCCAGAGCCGATTCCCAAGGTGCCGAAGCGCTGGAAGTCATCTTCGGTCCAGACTTCGCCGCCCGGAACGTCCCATTCGTGACCTTTGCCGAAGATACGGCGGAGACCAGTGTAGAAGCTGTCATCGCCGAAAGTGTCCAGGTACTTTTGCCACTCTGGGACTGCAAGGTTACGTGTGGACGTGTCGTTGGAGGAGAGCCAGGTTGTAATCTGACTTCCTGCAGCCAAAGTGCTGCTGCCGCCAGTCAAACCCTTCGAAATGAGCTGGACCCAGCCGTTGTTGACCTTCTCAAAGCCGGTTGGGGCCGTGTTGGAGTCGGTCCAAGAAGTAGCCTTCTCTTGGTAGTAGACAATGGTCGGGACCTTGCCGGGGTCAGGGAAGTTCTGGATGAAAGTGTAGTTGAACTCGTTGGCGTAGTAGTAAAGAAGGTCTTCCGAGGGAGGAAAGCGCATCGCACCCATCTCCGCCACGTTGACTCCGTCAGCCGTGGGGAGAGATCGAAGTCTGCCTCCGACGCTATCAGTTGCCTCAATCAAGGTGACATCTGCGCCGGCCTTGGCCAAGTTGAACGCCAGAACCACGTTGGTGATTCCGGCGCCAACGAGGCCGATCGAGAAGTTGGAGGGTAGAGTGCCGAGAGGCTGGTTGATATCACCGGCAGCCTTGTTCCACTCAGAGTAGATTAGTTGAGGAGTGTCAACCCAGGCTTGAGGACGAGCCTTCTGCTCGGCAGCGCCGGAGGACTGTCTCTGAGCCAGACGGGAACCAGAAGTGCTGCCAATGGAGGAGAAAGGAGTGCGCTTGTTGGCGGAAGCAACAGAGGCTTCCTCAGTCTTGAAGCTGAAAGAAGGGAGCATTTTGATTGAGATGCGTGAGTTGTTGAGATGTTGAGAGCCTTGTGAATGAGAGTGATCTGAGTGAGACTTTGAAAGCGATGTCCTCAAGACAAAGTATATGAACTGGGTGGGCAAAGGCCTACTACTTATACATCGTGAAAACCAGATCGAACTCTAGGCTTTTCTGACAAGATCGAGCATGCCGATTGAACTGCCGTCTCAACCGCCGGAAACACCTGAGTGTGACCTGGATGTAAGAGACATCGCCAACATTGTTCCTCACCTCCGTGCAGTTTGATCTGCAATGCAGTCCACGTCAACATGCGAGAGGCAAGTTTTGACCCTGGCGAGTTCAACGGTACACCGAGCTTCTCATGAAGAAATCGTAGCGTTCTCTGAATAATGTCATTTTTCTGCCCATCGTGGCTCAATCCCTGGCCGCTTGTGGTTCGAGAGAATTTTCGGAATTGACTTTGGCACCGAGTCATTCCAGTTGAGTTATGGAGTCAAGTCAACGTTCAATGAGGGAAATATCTATCAAATTCAAAGGTCAATTCGCTTATTGGAAAGTTGAGTAGCGAGTCTTTCAAAGCTCAGGATGGCTTTTCGTGATTCCGACTTGTAAGGGGCAAAGAAAGCACAAGTCAAGGGATATGATCATGGCACAGATGAGGTCAATCCCAACTTCAAGGCCTTGGTGAGTTTCTTGTTAATATCTTGACTAGTGCAGTCCAACTGCGAAGGGCACTAAATAAAAATATGCAACATATCTGGGATAGCAAGACTGAGAACCTAATTCAGTTCGCATAAAGATTCATCATTGCATAAATTTGGGATAGGCAAGGCTTCAAAACTTGCGGACTTGACCCTCTTTGGTAGATTCATTCTCACGAGGCGCAGTGAAGTGAAAGATGCTGTCGTCCTCTAACTCGTTGGGCTGCAAAAACCGCTTAGACTAGTATTGAATTTCGCTAGTGCAGACAAATACTACATTGAGCAAGATATTTGGACTGTGTAGAGTCACTTAAGGGCCGAGTTGACAGCACTTGTGGGTATTTGTCAAAAGACCTTGTAGTTGGATCCTAGCCCTTGACATGGGTTACTACTGATCCATCTGCCTCATCCTGAATATATGCCAGTCCAGACATCGTTCGATGTATGCTCGGAAGGAGACTCCGTTCGTCTGACCGCTCAGGACATGTTACGTTTTCACCTTACACTTTGGGATGTTGCAATTCTTTTCTGAACCCAGTCATGCGATGGTCGGGGGGTCGGGATTGGTGAAGATACTGGAAGAGAAAATGAAAATATAGTTGACCTTACGACGAAGCTCGATCCCCAAGCCCCCCCTAGTCTCTTCGATCGTTTCCATATCCCTTGTGTCAACTCATAGTTCATGGTTTGTTTCTCACTGTGAGCGAACAGCGGAGTATCATCCCGCAGTGACTGGAGCGGGGCATACTTGCGCAAAGTATAGGGGTATGGTAATTATAAGGCGGTTGTTTGTTTGCCCATAACAATCAAGCGACAGGCATGTAGGAATGGATGATATCCAGATTAGGGAATTACGCCGAGCTGTCAGATAACTATGTCTAGTGGGACCTACATCCGGGAGGAGCCGTTGCGGACCACAAACAAGGGGACCATGTGCGTGCGAGAATAATAACGAACAGAAGAGCGGGCCCGCCTCCTACCTTTTCCCGATACGCGCGCGGGGAGTTTTAACTGTTGAAGGACACGGAAGCTATTGTTGCGATTTTGACTTGAAGGGTGGTTCGTAATTCAAGAGATCAAGAACATTCTTGTTGTGCGTCTTGTAGGCAGTTCGGATTCAGACCGAAGAAGAATCAATCGCCTCCACACTTGAGTGATTAGTCCTCAGGGTGAATGCCATGCGCTTTCCCCATGCCCACTTCCGGCCCCCTGGCGTACATCGAACCACTTGATTCTTGCACCAATATTGAGAGGCTTTAGATGCTCTGAGTTCACGCAGAAAGCGAGGAATGCAAGCATAAACTTTCGTTGCATTTGCACATCTTGACATTTGACCATGAAAAAATGAGATGCCTTGGGCCCAGAACGACTTGGATTAGGTAGATAGTACCAAAGTTGCAATGGAAACATTCAAATATCTACCTCTAACAGTTGCCCGATTGTAGTAACCCGAGGCTACATGTTCTCAGGTTGGGTGTGAGGCTGTCAGTGTTTTTGGAGATCAAAACAGCGAGAAAGAAGATAGAAGAAAGGAAACGAAAGGCATGAAGCTTATGCTTGGAATTTGCTTCTTCGGCAAGTCTTAGGAGACATCTAGTGAGAATCAATTTGGTGTCACAATAAGAATTCTCTTTCCTCGGGATAGAATTTCTCCTGGGCTTTCAGCAACATCCATATGTGAGAAAATATGAGAACACCAAATGTTTGAGAGCAAGGTCTTCACAAACAGACGTGCATGGGGTACGTGCATGAAGTGAGCTGGTTGATTGGCTGAATGTATTCGATTGATCTGGGTCCAATAGCTCTGGCGATGTCAGCCGGAGTTGAGCATTTCGAGCCGTCGCCACGCAAGCGACATCAACATGATGACCGTATGCTCGTCTTTCTCTATTCTAAGGGAACTCAAATCTGTGGAGCCACTTGTGAGTGATTTCTGATCTAAGAAGCAAAAGCCTGCTGTCCTGTTGAGACCGTCTTTAAGATACCCTTGTCAGCCAAATCGTTGACCAGGTTGAATAAGACAAAGTCGCAGCCGCGCTTGGCCACAAGATTGACGGTGATAGGCATGATCTCATCCTGGAAAGTGACATTGCTGAAGTAGGAGACTTGACCAATGGGAATGGTGTAGTCTGCGTCGCCAAAGTAAGAAGCCACAGTCGATCCTGCTTGAGGAGTTGTAGGGTTCACAGGGGTCGTCGAACCAGGGTCGCTGTTGAGGTCCTGAGATCGGAAAGTAGGAATGCCGCCTGTTCCGACATCATAAACAAAGATGGCCTCAGAACATGATGTGTCGGTGGAGAAGAGGGCTTTCTCGTGCCACAAGGCAGCATCGCGGGTCCGGTTCGTCATTGCCGCCTTGTAGACGTTGTCATCGACCGTTAGGGAGTGGAACGCACCGCGGTAAGGGTCGTCAAGGGGCGGAAAAGCCGGAGCATACTGGGCTAGGAGGGGCTGAGCAGTCTCCGTGATCAAATCGTGTGTCCACAGAACAAGCAAGTCTCCGAGGAGTTGCAAGATGGGTCGTCCGGTCACGTCCTCGATCGTCTCGGTAAGGTTGACCTTCTCCACAGTGGCGCCAAGAGCTGCTGATGCATCGCTGAGAAACTTCTGGAGAATGGTCTCTGCGGCGGGGTTCTGCAGCGGGAGATGGTCGACAGGGTACAGAATTCGCTTGGGGAACGTACGATCGTCGGAGACGGAGAGAGCAGGCAATCCGTTCAAAGAGGTGTCTTGGTGGAGTAATGGGTCGTACCATGCCTTTGCAAACGAGGCCCATTTGACGGGATCGCGACAGAAGACGCCGGCAGTATCGGCATTGAAAGCATTGGTGATAATGTTCTCCATGAGGATCATGCCCTGGGAAGGCCTATTGCCGTAGGTCCCAGAAAATGCGGCCGGCTGTCTCATGGAAAGACCGGTATCGGTGCCAATGGCAAAGTCCAACCAGTCGTAAGCAGCGATGGAGCAGCCAGCGCCAGAAGAGGAGCCCGAGCAGCTAAGGAAAGTGTCTCCGCGAGGGCTGCGGGGATAGAATGCATCATTCCAGTTCCAGGGGCTCTGCGGGGAGGCGAACTGGGCAGTTTTTTGCTTGCCGACGACAACGCCACCGAGATTGATGATTTGCTGGAGAGCTGGCGCAGTCTTACTTGCGATACCGTTGACTGCAGCATAGGCTCTGCTACCCGCAGTCGTCTGGATTCCCTCGAGATCATAAATGTCCTTCACGGCAACTCGCTGACCCGCCATGGGCCTCGTGTCGTCTGTGCTGTAGAGCCGGGAAGGAACTGGAATCATAGCATATCCCCAGTCGGCTTCAGACTGAGTAAATGCCTTGTATCCCCCGTTCGACTCATACGTACCAGTCACGAACGTTCTGTACGTGTCAATGTACACGCGGAGGACCTTGCTGAGATAAAGGCTGTCTCCATCTGTGATAGCGAATAGAGGACAGGGAACAAGTGTAGAGTTGCCGCAAGTAGATGGACCGTCGCCACCACCGTAAATGATGTTGGACCCTTGGCCCTCAAGGTAGCTGATGACTGAATCATCGAGTTCATCGGAACCACTCGCGCTGACACAAATGTGGATTGAAACAGAGTGCCATTGAGAGGCGTAAGAGCTTTGGCTACCTTAAGGTAGAGTGCCATAAGACAGAGTGTGACGAGAAAAGCTGGGAGCTTCATGATTGTTTTGGTTGTCTTGGTAAGATGATCTGAAATCTAACTGTGATCTGAGCGATTTCACCGTCTCTTTATACCAAGTTTGAGATGTAGATGACCGATGTGCTCTCGTTGCGGAGCTCATGATGATACTTCCAAAATTTCCGCTTGCATTGTATAAGAGTATTTTTCGACAATCTTTCGATAACTTCATGTTCATTATTGTGACAGAAACCAAGGTTGAGATTGTTAGTGGATACAGGGTCAGGAGTGGCGTGGCTTGCATAACTGCTTTTGTACTTTGCGTCCGCAGCACAAATTGGTATATTCTGTATATGTGTATTGTCTTCGGAATGAGGGAATTATCTCATCGTGGCGTCCGCCCTGTCAAGCCCGGTCCCACCGCCTTCTGCCCGATCTCCATCTCCAAAGATTACTCACTGTGAGAGAACTCCATGTTGTAAGTTACTCCCTTTACTTTCTGTCGACTCAGTGTAGCAAACAGTTGCATAGACACAGAACTTCAAGCAGTGCAAGGCTCTATCACTAGTCTGGAAGGTGACATGTCGAAGATGAGTTATTGAATTTCGCCCGTCCTCGACAAGTGTTCGATAATCGTCCAAGATCTCGAATGCACGGAGTACTCCATAGTCATGTTGCGTGTTCTGACCCGCCAAGATGACTCGCGCCAACGTTTGGACCCTGCATAAGAGGCCAAGATGAATTGAGCTTCTTGCAGAACGAATCACGTGAATTCCCCTCCGTGACAAGGACTGAACGGCAATCATTTCGATCAAACCCTTGACTTAATCTTTCAAGGTTTAGTACGAAGATAGACTCGCTCTTGATCCATACTGATGTGCAAATACGTAAAAGCACCACGTGCGTGCGAGAATAACAACGGAGTTGCGCCGAGCTGTCAAGATAACCATGTCTAGTGGAGACTTCGGGAGGGGCCGCCAGGGACCACTGCAGGTCGGGCGGCTATCATCCTGATATATCCACCTTTGACGCTTACGTGAGAAGTTGTCAGAATGCCTTGAGCTTTATTGGATAGCGCAAAGCTCTTTGGTCTGGTCAGGGTTAACCATGAAGATGCTCTGTTGTTCGGTGCCAAGAGAGGGAGCGGGAGACGGCATCTTGCCGGATGTTACCTACTTAAAGACACTTTCTTGTGAGGTCTTGAGAACGGTGCGGGATTAAGTGCTCTGTGAAGTGAGATTTGAGATTGGACAGCAGAGATTGAACATAAAAGTGACAGTCATATATCAGAGGCGGGGAAAGCGCTAAAACTTTTATTCTTGTATAGAGAATAGTCCAATCTGGAGTTGGCTCCTCGGTGGGAAAGCGGAGATCGGTGTGCAAACTCGGTGAGAATCCGACGAATATTGAGCCGAACCGGCGTGGAACGGGCCGGTGGAACGGGCGAGTAAGCCGTTGATTCGGACCCCATCCAAGGCGAATCGCGTACTCGCAGCTCCTGAGTTGAGCGAGTAACATCCATCCAAGAAGCCGGTCTTCTTTGCGTTCCGGAAAACTGGGTCATTATCCAAGGTATTTTAGTGGACAGATCTAGCTCCTAGATCAATTACGCAGCTACTTCATCTTCATTGTTGCGTGCTTAGCAATCAGTCATCCGTTCTCTAACGTTATCAGCCAGATAGCTAAACCCACACAAGGGTGGCCCATTGAGTAATCCGCTCTTGACAGCGATGGTGCTGCGGGTTGAATCATTAGCAGCCAATTGAGAATCAACTGAAACCATTGACTTCCTAGGTGCATGAACTCATCCGCTACATAGTGGTCAATGCTGAGGGGCTCAAGACGTCAGAAATCTTCGTTATGACTTGCAAAGATATATCGAACTGAGTCTGACTTTGGCTTAAAGGACGGACAGGGACGGACTAAAACCCAACTCCTTCGACCACTCGTTGCACCAGACGAGGTCGTAACGGCACAATAACGATTCCAACTGGAGACATTGGCTACTTATTACAAAGAATCACTTCCGTCGGCCACAAGTTACGCCGACTTTAGTAACCTACCCCACCGGCTCGCCGCTCAATATTTTCCGCTCCTACCAGCAGTGCCACTGTACCACAGGATCTACAGACTAGACCTAGGCGAAATATTTCAGGTTCCAACTCTGGAGGCAATAGTAGGAAACCTGAGAATTCCAAAGGACGGCTACAAATAAATAGCAATTAAGGCCTCAAAATGACGAGAAGGAGAGCATCAAACTCATATCAATCGATCAACATGGCACCTAAGACTGTCTTTATCACTGGGGCAAACGGCTACATTGGCAATGCCGTAGCCCGCAGCTTCGTGGCCGCAGGATGGACCACCTATGGTCTTGTTCGCTCGCTTTCGGCGGCGACAAATCTGGCTCAGGAGGAGATCATTCCTGTCATCGGAGCCATCGATGACGTTGACGCGCACGCGAACATTCAAAGTCGCCTCCCGGCAAAGCTCGACGCCATTGTGTCAACTACGGAGAACCCAGCGGATTACATCCCGCATTACCAAAAGATCATTAAACTGCTCCGTACCCTCGGAACCGCAAGCCTGTCAGCCGGCACAAAGTCGATCGTTATCTTCACTTCCGGATGCAAGGATTACGGCATCGGTCCGCATTTCGACGGAGCCCCGGGCCTGGCTCCACACACGGAGGAGTCCCCCATCGGGACCGTCCCCATGCTCACCAACCGAGCTACGTACGCGCAGAAAATCGTTGAACACGGCGATGTCTTCACTCCGGTCCTCGTCCGACCCACCAATGTCTACGGACGTGCCTCTAGCTACTACCAAGCCTTCTTCATCGTCGCTTCCAGAGCGGCCGCCGAAGGCAAGCCGATCGTCTTGACCGCGCCGCCCAACTCAATCCTGCACGCTCTTCATGTCGACGACTGCGCAGATGCCTATATTGCCATCGCCTCTCACCCTAATATAGCCGAAATTGACGGCCAAGTGTTCAACATCTCGGCTCAGAGCTACGAGACACTCGACAAGGTGGCGCAGGCCCTGGCCAAGGAATACCAAATCAAGGATGGACTCAAGTACATCGACGAGGCGGACGCGAAAGAGGATGAGATGTGGCCACCATCAATTATCAACTTCCCTCAGTGGACAGACTCCACGAAGTTGACTAAGCTTACTGGGTGGAAGCATCGTCGTCCTCTGTTTACAGAGTCGATGCACGTTTATCGCCTGGCATACGAGGCCACCAAGGCGGCCGGGCACGAGAACATCCTCAAGGTTGATAGCCTTTTGGGAGCTTGGACGAAGAACAAGGCGAGACTGAGCTTGAACTCTGAGAAGATGGGCTAAGAAGGAAGCTCAAATTTGAGAGCAACCTCAGGTCGTTCCTCCGCAGCGGAGACGAAGTTCCTGCTTCTCATGACAGGTTCTTAGTACCTTAGTCGGCTGAAGGATGTCAAATCTCATCAGATAGTTTAGATAAGCGGCGCGATGAGCAAATTACAACCCACTTACCGACTCCAAACCTTGAGAAAACGTCATCATGCCTAAATCCCTACTAGAATCAGTTGAGATGCCAAACACTGGAGTTTTACAAAATTGGATCGGATCATCGAGGCAGAGAATGTCTAAAGTTGTAAGCAGAAGGGCAGTACTAAGTAAAACATGTATCTGGCGATATCGGTCGTAGCTTATAGTGATTCATATGAATCACTTACAGGTTCAGTCAATCACTACTCAGTGGACCTCGTTTCCAGGGATCAAGGGACTGGTAATAGCTGGCTGAACCGCATTTACTCAATACGAGGTAGAACAAGATGAAGGAAGCTATCCTAGATACACTGCGATAGCTCTGAATGATGCTCCAGTCATGACGGTGTGTAGTTAAGCCTGAGGTTGTAGCTCGTTGCTACAACTTGCATGCTTTCCTTTTCCCATTTCCGAGGTGTAATTTGTAAGCATTTTCTGCAATCGGACGGTGATGCAGTGCGAGGTCCACGGAATCTTATGAATGCATGATGTTTCTTTCTCCTCAGGTACGCGAAGATGCTCTGTGCGGGTTGCCCCCACCACCCTTATTTGCACTTTAGGACGGATGCTCCAGTTCTTTGGGGGAATGCATCCATTTTCCTCATCCATACCAAAGTCACATCAGTATCCGAAGATACTCATCGCACGAGTTGATATGAAATAGGATGCGGTATGGCTAGATGCGTCTTACGATGGGCGTAAAAGGAAAAGTGTGAGGCCCAACGTCACAGCTTGACTGGACAGTAGAGATGGTCCACCCCCACCTCCCGGCCACGCGACACTTTCTGCTTCGTGTGCCAAGCACTTTTGGTGTCTTATATGCGATTCTCGTAAAGCCTCAACCACAGTTCCTGTCTGGAGGGCGCGGCACGCGAATTTCACTACATTCTAGAGATGATGTAAGACGTGCATTATCTCTCCAGGTTCCTGGTAGGGTGTGTTGAAGACTTGCATGACGGAATCATCTGAAGTAGTTGTCGGCGATACTGTAGTATTACTGAAAGAAGTCTGTCAGAAAGTTCTTGGAGTCCTCAGTATCGTGAAGGTCAAGAGCGTGGAGAGATGCTTTCAGACATCGACGTGATAGGTGACGACTACTTACGCATCAAGGGTCCGCAATGCAGAAGTAAGAACACTGCCGTAGGTAATAGAGACAGAACGACTTGACCTGCTAAAGATTTATTCATCGCTTGAGTTATCGAACTCAATCTCTACATCATGATAGTGTGACAACGACGGTCTGTCTTGTAAGTTGTTGCAGAATACGCTAGCTGATGACTGGTGCACGAACGGAGGCTGGAGATCGGATCGTACCGGAATCAGAATGCCTGATCCAAGCTATGGCGGAGTCGGGCAGCTTACAAACCACGTGTCTCATGAAGACGTGATGCGTGTTACTGGCTCACTTGCCCGTTCCCCGTGGGCCGGCCGTTGGAGACAAGACTCATGCGCTAGGACTGAGGTCCGGACATGCTGCGGGAAAATCGTAGGATCCGGGGGGTTCCTCGTCATCGAAAAGCATGGACGTAAGACCTTGGTGTCGAGGAAACAAAGGCCGAGCGACTAAAAATCCGAGCCTCAAGCTGCACAACTAAGTCCGATAGGTTCATGTTAACTTGGCAAGTCAGGGCAGGTGGGGCTGTTGCGATGGCGCAAGAGTGCGTTCTCAAAGGTGAGATGGCAGTTCTGTTGCATCCGTATACTCGTATTTGAATCATCAGCGCAAAGCCTCTCTTGGCCATGGACAAGCCGTCGCATCTCGGAAGTGAGGACGTAATGTCGACGCGGCTTGATGGCTGCGACAGGCTACAGCGCTGAGCGTGTGAAAGAGCAGAAGAAACTGATACGGCTTCGGCGTCGATCTCTCAAAGAGATCTACTCGGAGGTTCTGTCAATGTTTTCAACTCCTGATAAAGGGGCCCGCGGGCATTTCAATACGGCCGAAGCGCGCGCGCTCATCGGAATAACGCCGAGTGAAAGGTTCTTCGTCTCATCTTGTCTTCGTTTCGTCCGGCGTTGTGACCTGACTAAGCGGCAGATTGGGGCCTGTTGGCGCCCTGCCGACGCTTACTGCCGAACCATTGGGTAATACTAAATGCTGAAGGATGTCAAAGGCCTGTCACTTACATACTGACAAGCCACGACAAGCCGTCGCAAAGTTGAAGAGTGGAGTAGACTTGTCGAGAACTCTTGGTGTGTCCGTCACAGAAAAGTCCGAAGGAAGGGTAGAAAAGGACTCTACCAACGGTGAATGGGGTGACCTGAAGGCGAGATGAAACATGGAAAGCTGCCGAATGGCGCCCCCTACCGGCTCCATGCGCCCACTCCGGCCCCACTGACATCTCAACTCGGAAACGCAGACTTACGCCATCCCATGATCCTCGGTGGGGAGAACAGACGGCGACGATCCAATCGACATGATCTCCCGCTAGATCGTCACCCTCCCTGTGAGGCTCTGACTTCCAAAAGAGGTATCGTCTTATAGAGCCTCAAACCGTCACGGAACATCATCAGACAGCTTGGCAGCACGAGCCACAGTGATGTCCAGCATCGCCAGTTGGAAAGAGGTCTGGTTGCGCGAGTTAACGTCTTGGAGTGTCTTGAACCTTCGCATTCTGCCCCCCACCTCCACTATCTCTCGGCACTTCATCATCATTAGTAAAGCCCCCTACAGCCCCGGGCAAGAGCTTCTCATGTCTTGGCTTCGCGGGTATTCCGATGGCAAATATGTACTACAGCCGGTGCTAATCTAATTCAAAATTTAGACTTACTCGAACTCTAAGTTCTGTCTCCATTTCCATTCCTTCCTCTTTTCCTTCAATTTTCCTTCAGTCCAAATTCCTCCTAGTGAGGTCAAGCCGTGATTTCTGTCAGAATCGGCATTTCCAGTCATTTACGCATTTTAATCAACAGGGGAAAGTCACTGCTGAGCGGTGTTCGCTTCATTCATTTCAAGAATCTTATCTTCATTACTTCTCTTTTACTGCCCAATATGAGAGTCACTTCGGCTTGGGCCCTTGTGGCAGCCGCCACGGTCACTGCGATGCCTCAACCAGTCTCCAAGAGAGATCCTTTCCCGTTGGACGGCACTGTTGTGGGAGGTGTTCCCCATCGCCCTTTCAGAAGTATGTTGCCTACACCCTTCAGCCCTCGGCCTCCAATTCCTAACCACAGAGGCATAGTCCGAAGACAAGCCGCCGCACCAGCGACCCCTCAAGGCAATCAACTCATCCCGGTCGTAGTTGGAGGAGCGCAGGACACTTTTGTCCCGAACTTGATTATGGCTCAGGTTGGCGACGTCGTTCAATTCCAGTTCAGCAACGGCAACCATACCGTGACGCAGAGTGCCGAAGGCGCCGCATGCCAACCTCTTCAAGCTCAGGTTCCGACGGCTATTCACAGTGGTCATGTGCCTTTCAAGGACGGACAAGCCATGGTTGGAACGTTCAACATGCCGATTACGAGTGCCGACCCGATGTTCCTCTATTGCGCTACAGGGCCTCACTGTCAAGAGGGACAAGTCCTGGTCATCAACCCGTACGTCATGGCGATAGAAATTGAACATGACAATGACCGCTAACGTCGATGAGCAGTACCAATGCGAACCAAGTCGTCCAATACTCAAAGTTAGCCGCTGCTGCGAAAGCGAACGTTGACGGAACCACAGTGAGCGGCGGTGCCGTTGGACAGATTCCCCTGGCAAATGCAGCCTTCGTTCCAGCACCGGCTCAAGGGGCCGGCGGTGGCGGTCCTCCAGGAGGTGGTGCTGGCGGTGCTCCCGCTGCAGCTCCGGCGGCTCCGGCTGCGCCACCCGCAGCAACACCCGCGAACCCGGCTCAGGATCCTGCGGCGGCACCTCCGGCTGAAGCGCCCGCCGCTCCCCCAGCAGAAGCCCCGGCCGCCCCTCCGGCTTAGATAGTAGTGTCTGTTTCGCGGCCGAACTCGGGAAGTTCGGTCCTAGCGACAAAGGCGGTTCGCCTGGTCGAGCCAGCGTAGATGCCTCGCTCCGCACTTGACAGAATTGAGGAGTGCGCTGAAGTCGCATTTTGTCGATGGAGGAAAGAGTAATCCATGTGTATGTAATAACAGTCTTGTACATGCTATTGCCGTTTGCGGCGGGGGTTTTAACCTTGGTTGGTGTTGGTTTATGAGGATATGGCAGACGCAGGACGAAAGCTGTGTTGCTGAGATCGAGAGGGAAAACATAAACAATAAACTCATCAACGAAGCTACATGCTGGAAAACACTGTTGTTTGAAAGACGCTTCACGATTGACTATTTAATTACCACGGCTATCACGATGCACTAGTTTCCCCCTTCACCGCAGAGGCAAGCTTCTTACCATCAGGGACCTTCATGTTGGTGCTCATGGCTCCACAACAACCTTCAATCCACTTACTCCCTTGAACAACACGTCCACGGCCTTATTCAGTCCATCTAATCCGCCATCAATCTTTTGAGATGGCAAGCCAACAATCTTGTTTGCGGCGATGGCCTCAGTGAAGTAGGTCTCAAACGACCACTTCAATAGCTCGGCATTCTTCTCTTCCGCAAGCGGTGCCGACCAAGACCCAAAGCTGATGGCTACGTCTTTCGGGACACTATCCGGATCAGTGGGAGGCAACAATGCATATACCTTGCCTCCGCCCTGAGCAGCCAGGACTGCAGTAGTGATGGCGAATGTGGGCTTCAATGAGATAGAGTCCACAACATATTCGTAAGGTCCTTGAGCGACCAATTCTTTGACAACAGCATCGTGGGATTGAGTGTGATCAACGACGTGAACAGCACCCAACTTGGCTACGAGGTCCTTGTGCTGAGGGGATGTGGTGGTAACGGCGTCGTATCCGGACTGAGCCACATATTGTGTCGCGAAGCTGCCAAAGCTAGATGTGCCGCCGTAAATCAAGATCTTCTTGCCCTTGGAGGGCAGCTTCCTAAGGGGATCGGG